TCAGCAGTCAGGCTGGGGCCCACAGGATGGGCACGCTGCCAGCTGGGCCTCGTCTGGCCATGGGCCCGAGAGCCACTGGGCCAGGGCCAGGCCAGAGGTGAAGGGGCAGCGGGTGTAGGAGCGTGTGGACGGGCTGGAGACCGGGGGCCGTGGCCACAGGAGCCCGGGGGCGGTGTTGGGAGGCAGCACCCTTCGCTGATGGGACACGGGCAGGGTGGGGCTCCCCACCTGCCCCACTGCTGGGGGGACTCCTCGGGGAGGCCCTCCTTGGCCCGTGCGGCCACCTGGTGTGTGTGCGCCATGCCTTCTGCTGGCCATCAGCTGGGCTGCACAGAAGGTGCCCTCCTGGCTCAGGAAAGTCCACCCGACGCCCGTGCCTGGCTCCCACCCGGAGACCTGGTGCAAGGACACGCCCCACCCCCCACCCCCCTCCAACATGCGCTCCAGTCTCCCGGAGCTCCTGGACAGCCTCCCAGGCTGCCCTGCTCCTGCCCCGCAGCCCCGAGCCCTGCAGGCCTCGTCCTGGGAGCACTCTGGGGGCACAGGCTCCCCGAGGGGGGGGTGCATTCAGGTCAGTGGGGACTGTCGTCCCTGCCAGTTCCTGACCGGCACTGGGGGCTCAGGTCCCCGCCAGCAGCCACGCGCACCCGTGCCGACGTGGGCCTGCCCGAGTGCCGACTAGCTGTCCTGGGCGCTCACAGGGGCTCCGTTCCCAGAGGCAGGTACACACGGTGTTGTGGGTGGCGCAGGCCAGCGGTGTGAGGAGCAGGGCTTGCTGCCCGGTGAGGGGACAGCGGGTGTGGGTCTCATTTGTCTGACAGACCCTGAGGACAAGACAGGACACGGGTGGCTCAATGACACCTAGTCCCCGTTCACCCTTAATCCAGAGCAGGACGCAGAGGACCCGGGGGCCGTCCCTCAGGTTACTTCTGAGACTTTCTCATCTTCGCTCTCCGCCCCGGGGCACCCTCTGCTCCCAGGGGTGCTGCTGGGACTGCCTGTCTGTCTGGGAAGAGAAAGCAGGGCGCCCTAACCCGCCAGCCCCGGTGACTGCAGAGAGCGCTCTGCACGCGTCTCTGAGCTACAGGTCGACTTCACGATAAAGCCCGGCACCAGTGACATCCTCAGGGTGCCGCGGTGTCTGAGACTCAGAGAGGAACATCTGCACGCAGTGAAATGCCCACAGCTCAGGTGTGCGGTTGCAACAGTTTTTATTTTCCGTGCTCTGCACACGCTCAAGTTTGGTCTCTGGGTTTTCAACAGGTGGAGCTGCCAGTGCCCCTGCGCCCCGAAGCGCCCCGCGGGGGCCAGGCTGTCCTCAGGCCGTCAGCCCCTGGTGACCCCTGCTTCTCTGCCCCAGCCCCACACCCCCTCAGCCTGCCTTTCCCCGAAATGTCCTCTGAGTGGGTCACAGAGGGTCTGGCCTCTTTCCCTGAGCAAAGTCCATCTCGGCTCATCCTGCCTTGAGTGGGTCCACAGATTATTCTTTTTCGTCATCCATTTTCGGGTCACCACAGTCCACCTCTCCCTGCTGAGGTCCACCTTCAAAGCCACCTGGCTGCTCCCGGCTTTCAGCGACCACAAGCAGCGCGTGTCCCGCGCAGGCTGCACGGGCGCACCTGTTCAGGTCGGTGGGGCGACTCCCCGGGAGCCCGTTGGGTTGCACGGTGAGAAGCTGCCAAGCTGCCCCAGCAGCGGATGCGCCGTCCTTGGCCCCTGCGGTGAGCGGCCTCCCCTGCCTGCGGCCCTGCACCCTCCCCGCACGGGCTGCGCTGGGCTGCGGCCGACCGGTGGGTGTGGAGCGGCGTCCCGTGTGAACACTGAGCATTTTCCTGGGTCTGCTGGGTGCACGGTGACACGCCGCACCCCAGGGACCCAAGTGTGCCTCGTCTCTGTCGGGTGTCTTCAGGGCGTGGGCCTGTTTTTTAAAAGACTTTATTTATTAGCCCTGGCTGGCGTGGCTCAGTGGATTGAGCTCGGGCTGCGAACCAAAGCATTGCAGGTTCGATTCCCAGTCAGGGAACAGGGCACATGCCTGGGTTGCAGACCAGGGCCCCCAGCAACCGCACATTGATGTTTCTCTCTCTCTCTTTCTCCCTCCCTTCCCTCTCTAAAAATAAATAAATAAAATCTTTAAAAAATCTTTAAAGCTTTTTCTCAAAAAAAAAAGGACTTTATTTATTCTAGAAGGAGGAGAAGGGAGGGAGAAAGAAAGGACAGAAACACTGATGTGAGAGAAACATCGATCAGTTACCTCTTGTACCCGCCCGACCAGGGACCAAACCCACACCCAGGTCTGCACACTGACCAGGAATCTAACCCACGACCTTCTGCTTTGCAGGACAATGCCCAACCCACTGGGCTACGCTGATCAGGGCAAATAGGTAGCTTTCCTGGGCAGACTCGGGTTGGCCCAAGGCTAAAGGGTTTGCCAGCTGGCCCTTGTGCCCACGTGTGCAGACAGGCTCGGCGCGGCGGACGGCGGGCGCACCAGGCTTGTTCTCACGCCCCGGGCTCCTGGGAGCGCTCGACCCACAGACGGCAGCCGTGAGGGAACGGGGCTGGGTGGGGGCTCAGGGCTCCGAGGGCTTGTTGCAGTTCCACAGCACACACGCAGCCGCCGGGGATGGGCGCTACCACGGGGGAGGGGGCGGTGCTGGAGGACAGAGACCTCCCTGTATTATTTCTTGCAGCTTCATGGGAACCTACAGTTTTCTCAAAAAGTGGGGCTGGCCTTTGAGGTCGGGCCAGTTGGCAGGCTGCACAGGTGTTGATGGGAGGGGGTGAGGAGGTGAGGAGGGGGAAGGAAGGCACAGGAGTTGAAGGGCCCCTACTGGGTGGGCTTTCTGTGGGTTCAGCCGCACCTCAGGGGTCTGGTCAGTGGGGGTGGGGAGCAAGAGGCCGGGCAGAGCCCCCAGCTCCTCCCTACACCCTGCCCACCGCCACGCCACTGAGTGCCCTTTCAGCTCGGACCCTCAGAGCAGGGGTCAGTTTAGCCAGTGCACCGTCTTCCCCCAAACCCGCCCCATTTGCCTGGCACCCCACCCCACCAGAAGGCTCTGGTCACTGTCGAGGCTCCCTCCTCCTCAGCCCCCCTCCCCTCCCACAGAGTGCTGCTGACATGAGCTGGGGCTGGCCGTGCCTGGCTCTGCCTCCGCGGCCCCGCCTTCCCATCCCAGTGCCCCAGCTGGGGAGCCATCATGACCTCCACGTGGCTCCCAGAGGCCCCCCCACTTCTGTGGCGGCCTCCCTGCACCTGTGACCGGAGAGGTCTGGCTGTGCACGCGGCACCCAACACGGGGGGCGGGGGGGCTCCGAGCAGACCCGACTGCAGCCGCAAAAGGAAACCGGTGCGATGTCTCTCGTGCAGTGGTGTCACTAACTGCTCCAGCAAGTCCTGTTCCCGAGCAGAAAATTAACTCCCCTCTCCGGTCTCCTCCCCAAGAGGGTGAGGCAGGGGCAGACCTCAGCCTGCCGCCCGGTCCGCTCCGAGCTGCTAAGGAAGGCCACAGCGGTAACTTTCGCGTGCCAGGACACTGCGGGTCACCTCTGCTTCTCAGAAATACCTACTGCCCAGCCGGCCGAGGGCTTCCAGTGCAAACCCCAGTGCAGGCTGCACGTCCACGCCTTGAAAAGAGGGAGGTGGCCCATTCATTCCCTGAGAACCAAAAGGCTGAGCCCAGCATTAAGACAACCCCCAGGCCCAGCAGGCGGCTACCAAGACCAGGAGGGGCGCGTGATAACAGAGGAACAAACCCCTGTCTCCCACGCTCACAGCGGCCAGCCTACGCACCCAGGAAGGCCCGCCACCCGCACGGGAGCACCAACGGATGGACAGAAAGTGTGGGCGCCACGAGACAGGGAGTGCCGTCGTCGGGGTGCGGACAGAAATGACTGCGAACCTGCAATTCTCGGCCCAGCGGAAGTGTCCTTCAAATACAGGGGGCACACACAGGCGTTTTCCGAGAAGCGACAACGGGCAGGATCCCTGACCAGTGAACCCACACCAAGCGCAGCCTCGGCTCTCCGGGGTTCGTCTGTTCTGCTCAGGCCTGGGCCCTCGGCACCTGCGGCGCCGCGGGGCACAGTCCGCAACATTCGCCCACAACGTCGGGGCAGTGCGACGTTACCCGTAGATCACAGACGCCGCCTTGAATGACGTCGACGCTGTCTTTCGCATCTATCTGCACACCAGCCTACGAACGTCCGTGTGTCCCCCGCCCCACGGCGCGGTCCGAGGGCTCGGCGGGGGGTGTCGCGCGGAATTTTCAGACCCAGACTCAGCCTCCGCTCCAAGTCACCGAACCCAGCCCGTATCCGCCACGCTCACGTCCTGACCCCGCCCGAGAGGCGAGCTCCAGGCAGCGTCCTCTCCTCGTGGGATGTCCGAGGCCCGCCCACGCACGCGCGGGACCCTCTGTCGGTCCCAGGTCACAGCCCGGCCCTGTGGGTGGCGGCGAGAGAGACCCAGCCCGCCCATAGTCCCGCCCACCAACCCCGCCCCTCGTCTTGGCCACGCCCACCGCAGACACCGCCCCTCGCGCCCCGCCCCGCCCCCAAGCCTCGGCGGCACCTCCAGACCACGCCCCCACCGCGGGTCTGGACGGCGACCTGACCACGGTCCCCCTAGGCCCTCCCTTCCCCCTGTAGACAGCGTGCCGCTCCTTCCTGGTGACAGGCTAGGTACAGTCCGCTGTCGTCCGTAGGTCAGTCATTCCCGCCGTCTGACAACCCGCGGGCCGGTCAGACGGCCGGCCCGGGGTCATCCCTTACCGGCACCGGCCTCGGTCCGGCCTCCTGCGGACGCACTCCGGGCACTACTACTGCGGTCACGCTGCTCGGGCGACGCGGGCGCGCGCGCGGGGGGGGGGGGCGGGGCGGGAGGACGTCAGCGCGCCTTTTCGCCTTCCCAGCTCCGGATGCGTCCCTGCGCGTGCGCGTCGGCCCCCCTTTCAGGACGCGGCGGCGGTGCGCCTGCGCGGTCCGCGTCTCGGTGGATAGGCCTTAGCGCAGTCGCTGGGTCCGCCGGCTAGAGCCACTGGTTCCCTGGCTCCCTGCCAGCCGGACAAGCTAGAGCGGGCTTCGCCAGACTTTCTCTCCCAAATTGAGTAATCCTCGACCTTATTCCTAAAGGAGCCGGTCCCAGGCAGGACAGCCCTGGCAGAGGACTCCCCGGGTCGACCCACAGGGCAGTGGGCCTTGAGCGTTGCCATGTGCCCGCCCCACCACTCCGCCCTGTTAGGTCGCCCGAGAACCTGGGGGGCGCTGGGTCGGCGACTCAGGTTGGGGAGAGAAGCCGTAACGGCGACAGCACCTCGGGGGGCTTTGATCCAGCGGTGTCACGAGGACTGGAGAGATGTAAACACTGGGCCCCCACTTTGCAGAATTGGGCGGGCTCCAGCCAAGGTGCCCACGCAGGTGTGGAGACACGCGGGTGCGGGGAGAGCTGGTGGACTTCTGCAGCTTCCCAGGACGGCAATTCAGCAGTGTCTTGGAAGGACCTTAGAACCAGGCAGGTCCCCCTCTAGGATGGCGTCCAGGTAAGAATTGTCCAAACCTGGAAGAATTTTTATGCGTGTATTAGAGCCAAACTGGCGAGTGCTTGGGAGTGAAATCTCAGTGGATTAAGCAAACGCTCTGGAGAATGGCAGTTTTGCAGTTTATGTTGCGAATTAGAAAAAAAGAGGAGGCATAAGGGGCGCTGGTCTCGGAGATGGGCGCCCCAGGCCCTTCACCTTCCTGCCTCTGTCTGGTTTTCTGCAAGAGCCCACGCTGCTGGAGGCACGAAGTCATGTTCAAGTCGGCCGCAGTGCCCGCCAGGGCCCCCAGAAGTCCCCCTCTGCCCCTCTCCCGCCCTCCGGCTGCAGTGGCCTCTGCCCGAAACCCTGCCCTCCTGGTCCTGCTCCCCTGTCTTCACTTGACACTCAGTTGAGTTGACAAGTGTCATCTGTTCCTGCTCCGCGGAGGCTTATGGGCGTCTGGGCCTTGGCGGTCCGCCCCTACAGAGCCCTGGGCTTCCCAGGACTCCTGTCCCCACTCTCGTGGCCCCGGCCCCCTTGCTACACAACCGAAGACTGGCCCAGCCAAACACTCTCTCGCATCGAGTAACATCTCACTTGATCCCCACGAAGAGCCGACCACCCAGGGAGCCCGGCGGTTCTCATCCCCCATGCGCACTGTGCCGCCCCCTGGCGGCCGCAGACGTGAGGCCGGGCCTGCGGCGAGCATCCCCTACCTAGTGGGCCCGATTTCCCCGCCGCGCCCGCGCCCCCGCCCCCTCCCGGGCGCTGTAGCCCCCGGGACCTACCTGGGCCCGTCCGCGCTGCCCCTGGATTCCTTTCCTCTGGCAGCACTTCCCCCAGGCACGTTCCACCATCCAAATACTGTTGTGTAGTTCACTTCTAAATTTCCTTCCCCGTCCGGGCCTGGGCTCCGTGGGCGCTGGCTCAGACCTTGGCCCGGCTCTGCGCACCAATGTGGCCCGGTAGCAGTGGCCGGCCCACGGTCGGTGTCCGATACCCGGTTGGGTTGATGACGGCCTGAGCGGTACAGCACACGGAGCACCTCTGCTCCCGCAAGTGTGCGAATCAGCGGGGGCACCGCAGCCGGGAGGCGGTCGCTCGCTGCGGCTGTGGCCCCCACGGGCATGCCCTGCGCAGTCGCGCGCCCTCGGAGGTTTCCACACGTGCTCAAAAAACTCAAGTGGTGCACCCCCGAGGGCCATCCCCTGTCAGGAGTGGTGTTTCTAGCTGTTGGAACGTGCGTGTGTTATGCAACCATTTTGAACCGTTTATTCAACTATCGGCAGGAAGTTATTCAACCATTTTCCTGCCGATGGACATTTAGATTGTTTCCAGGTTGAACAGTTACAAAACGCTGCACAAACACCCTGGGGACCTGTCGCCTAAGCTCACGGTTGCTCTGGACAGGTCGGTGGGTGGGTAGAAACGGGTGCACGCGCGTTTTACATAACGAACCAGCGCCCCAGAGAGCCTGGGACAGCCTCGCCCCCCGTGGCACAGCCACTCGATCTCCAGTCCCGGAGCTGAGAGGCGTCTCAGGTGCTTGGTTTCTGCTCCAGGGAAACCCGCAGGCCCGCCCCTCCCCACGCCCCGCCTCGGCCTGGCGCCCCGCCCCCGTGGGCCGGGCCCCGCCCCTCCTCCCGAGGCCCCGCCCCTATCCCGAGCCCCGGCGGAAGCAGTGTCCAGGCTAAAGCGGCGGCGACGCAAGGTGAGCTCTGGGTTTGAGGGTCTCGGGGTCGCAGCCGGCCGGCCGGGCTGGGGAGGACCTTTCGCGGCGCCCCTGGAGGGGCGGGTGAGCTCGGGCGACTCCCGCGGGCGTTGGCTGCGGCCCAAGAAGGGCGCGGCCGGGCGTCGGCATCCTTTTCCAGGCTGCAGAGCACCGCCTGACCTGGAGGGATCGCGCGGAACCCGGCGCGGACCGCCCACGACACCCCCCCCCCCCCGTGGTCCGCCGCCGCGTCTCCGCGCTGGCGGAGGTAGCATACGGTCCCGGCCGCCAGCTGGAGGCTCGGTGGACCCGGGACGTGCCCGCCCCGGTGGATGCCACCCGTGGGCGCCGCCCCAGCGAAGGCCCAAGCCCAGCGCCTGATCTGGCGCGGGTCCCGCTGAGCGGCCTGTTGTCGCACTTGAAACCGCTGATTCGGGGCGTTGCTCAGCTCCTGGGTTCCACCCTCGGGACCCTCGGGAGCAGCCCGGCTGGGGATCCTGAAATGCGGTCGTACTTCCCTAGGTCGGGGACCTTAATGGGGGCGTCTTTGGGGGGTGCCGGACGTTCCCACGGGGTTCTCGAGGTACCCAAAGGCCCAGCGAAGGGGGCGCCCCAGTGACTGTGAAGCCCAGGGAGTGTCTTCCGATGGGGCGGCCCTGTCCCTCTTCTCAACGTCAGACCACCACGTGTGAGCGGCGCTCCTTGGTGTCAGGCTGCTTCCCGGAGAGGGTGCAGCCTGGGGCAGCAGCCCAGGGGCTAGGGGGCTCAGTGGTCCCCCAGGCTGGCAGGCGCGGGGAGCAGCAGCCCTGACCTCTCCCCTCTGGCCAGGGCGGGGGATTCTGAGTCAGGATTTGGCCGACCACACCCTGGCCCCCCGTGGGGGGAGGTTGGGATTGCTCACACACTCTGAGCTGTGGGCTGGCGGACTCCTGGCTTCTCCGTGCGGCATGGCCAGTCACAGCCACCCTCGCCCCGTTTCCGCAGGCCGCCTACGGGGACCTGCAAGCAGGACTTTTGCCTGCTGGTAGTCGCAGGTCAGCGGCAGTGGAACCAGAGCCTTTGCCTGCCCCGCCCCCACTGCGCTCTGAACCAGCTGTGGGCAGCCGAGGGGGCGGGGGAAGGGGGACGGGCCTCCGTCAGCCTGGCCGGCCAGTGCCAGGCTCCGATGCAAACACGCGCAGGGAAGCGCTCCCAGGAACCGCGGGCGGGGGTTTTGAGCGAGGCCGAGTTCTCAGGAGTCCCAGGTTTTGGGGAACCGGGGCCTCACGTGGGGCTGAGTCATCCCATTGGGCAGGCCCATCTAAAGGGCAGCTCCAGTCGCATCATTTCCAGGGCTTTCCATCGTGCTTGAGCGAACGCAGATGCCCGGCACTGCCCCCCACCCGTCTCAGCAGCGAGGCCGGCCCCTGCCGCCCCCCCCCAACTGTCCCGGTGTGGGTGGTCCCTGGTGCGGCGCTGTGTCGGAGCCGGTGATCTGCTGCCGCCCCAGACCTGCTGCCAGATCCTCTGTCTTTCCCAGCCTGCCCCATGGCCCGGCTACTCCAGCGGCGGGTCCAGGGTGGGGCAGGCTGTGCCCCAGCCCGTCGGAGTCCCAGGCCCTCGGGAAAGGGTCACAGAAGCTGGGCCTGGGGTCCCCACTGCTCTGCTGTGTCCTGTCCAAGGGCACCCATGGCTGGTGCTCCTGGCTGGAGAGCTGTTACCTGACTACAGGCACCTGTCCCTCCCAAGCAGCTGCTTCCGGGCGGAGAGGCCTGGGGTCCTCACATCTTGGGGGGTGGGGGGGTCTCTGGCTTTGTGGATGGCCCAGCCCGGGCATCCCTCTGGTTCTCAGAGGGAAAGCTGGCTGAGCAGGCAGAAGTAGTTTCCAGAGCACGGTGTGCACTGCCCATCCCGTGCTGTGCCCAGGCCCACAGGCCACCCCCTCCCCGCCGGCCCTTGCCTGGGCACATGAGGCAGGGGAGCTCCAGGAGGCAAGCCCAGGTGCCGCCCTCTCCCAGGCAGCGGCAGGAGGCTGCGGGGCGAGTGCAGCCTCTGCCCCCCGCAGCCCTGGCCCCAAACTCTGTGGTGGTTTTTGCCAGGGCAGCCCACGGGTGCCGTGTCCCTCTGCCCTCCCCGTCTCTGTCCCTGGGGGCTGAGGCCTGGGGGAGAGGCTGCGGCGTCCTCCGCTGGGTCTCTGGCCCCGGAAACCTGAGATACCTGGGCTGAGCTGCCCTCCTGCCCCCTCTGCCCTCCACCTAGGACACACCTGCCTCTCACCATGAATCTCGACCTGCACTACGAGCAGCTCAGCGACGCCCGGTGGACGGAGCTCCTGCCTGTGATGCAGCAGTGCCCGGTGATCAGGTGCGTGCAGGGTCCCCGAGGGGTGGCGGCCAGCCGGGCCCCGGGTGGGCGCTGTAAGCACCTTCCTTGTGGATGCGTGGCACCGACTGTATGAGTTTCCCACGGTGCGAGATGGTCTTGTGTTTCCCCCAAACATTTAAAGACGTAAACCTGCTCCTGGCTCCTGCCTGTGGGCGGGGCTTGGTGTGGAGGCTCCGGAGGCGGGTGGGCGGGGCCTCTGCCCGGCTCCCTCCCCAGGGACAGCCCCGCCCTCGCCTCTCAGGTGCTGCCTGGCCTTGGTCGCACCTGGCCTGTGGCTGAGGTCCTTGAGCCCAGCCGCCCCTCCGGCTTCACACCACCGCAGCCGCCTGCCGCCTGCCCTTCTAGCTGGTCTGGGTCGGGCTTAGGTTCACAGAAGGGTTACGAACGTGGTTTGGGGGGCGCCTCTGCCCGCCACCCTGCTTCCCCCGAAGCCAGCGCCGAGCGCCCGGGGCACTGGGCAAGCCACCTGGACTTGGACGTCACCGGCTTCCCCGCCGGGTCCTTTCCCGTCGCAGTCAGCGCAGGATCCCGCGTGGCATTGAGCCGCCTCCCGTCTGGGACGGTCCCTCTGTCCCCTTCCCCCGTCCCCCCCCGCCCCCCTCTGTGGCTCCGCTCAGCTCTGGAGAGAGTCCGGGTGACGTCGTCTCCCGGCGGAGGGACACATTTTTGGCCAGCACACGCAGAATCCGTGTCGCGTCCCGCCTGGCGTAGCCTGCCATGGGGTGCGCGGCCGCGAGGGCACGCCGCGGTCGCCCCGGGTTGTCCCTGTGGCCGGCCTGCGCTCAGGCGGGGCGTCCGCTGGTTTTGTCCCGTGCGGCCACCGTCCCTTTGCCGCGCGAGGGCACAACGGGCCGGCCGAGGCCGGCGGCAGCCTCCAGCCTGGAGGGGCGTTTTTACCACAACGGCTGAACAAAGAAGTCGTGTTATTGGAAAGAAACTGAACAAAGAAACAGAAACAAAAACTCCCCTGGCTGCTGTGGCTTGGCGGACTGAGTGCCGGCCTGCGCGACCCGAAGGGCCTGGTTTCACCGCGTCCAGGGCACAGGCCTGCGCTGCCGGCTGGGTCCCCAGTAGGGGGCGTGCGAGAGGCAGCCACACGTGGATGTTTCTCTCCCTCTCTCCCCCTCTCTAAAAATAAGTCAAAAAGTCCTAGGAAAAAAAAAAAAAACAGGTTAAAAAGCCCCGTCTCCCCCTGGGTCGTGGCAGCCGCCTCGGGCAACGGGCCGGACGCTCTGCTCACGCCCTGCTCCTGCAGCTCTGCCCCCTGCCTGCAGCGGCCCGGGGTTTCGTCACGGTCACCCCTGGGCCTTGTCCTTGCCAGGACCTTTCTTTAAATCCTCACCTGAGGACATTACTGACTTTAGAGGGAGCAGGAGAGGGGAGAGAGAAAAGCGTCGACCGGCTGCCTCTCGCAGGCGCGACAGCGGGGGTCGGGGTGGGGGCTGAGCCCGCTCCCCAGGCGGGTGCCCTGACCTGGAATCGACCCTGCGGCCCTCCGGGGCTGAAACGACGCTCCAGCTGACCCAGCCGCCCGGCCGGGGCCCTCGCTGGGACTGCTCACTCCCCACCCCTCTCAGTTTGTCACAGCCGCCCCCCAGGGCCTCTCCGATGTCCCACGAGAGCAGGTGGCCCGGTCCCGGGCACCTGCAGCTGGGTTTCACGTGCGTCCGGCTGCTCACATCGCAGCCCGGCCGTGCCCTCTGAGGGGCACACCCTCCGGGAGGGGACGGGGGGCTGGACACGCCGACCCTGCCCCGCGCGTGCACAGCCGCCCCGTCCTCGGCCCTGGAGCGGGAGGTCACAACCTGCGGTGGGGGCCACGACCCGCGGTGGCGGCGTGACTGTCGGGGGGTGTCCGCCCGCAGGCTGGTGGACTGCGGCGTCACCGAGGGGCGCTGCCGGGACATGAGCTCCGCACTCCGGGACAACGCCGCCCTGACGGAGCTCAGCCTCTGCTCCAACGAGCTGGGGGACGCCGGCACGGACCTGCTGCTCCAGGGCCTGCAGAGCCCCACCTGCAAGGTCCGGAAGCTCAGGTGAGCCCCCGTGGGCCGCACGGCCAACCGTGCAGGGCCTGGGCCCTGCCCCCGTGGGAGGCTCACGGGGACCCCGCCGCCCTGCTCCCTGAGGCGCACCGCAGCCTCTCACACCCCCACCCGTGCACCCCCTCCTGCCCTCGGCCCGGGGACCCCAGAGCCCCGCGGCCCGGTGTCTGGCCTCGCGGTGACGGTGGGCTTGCGGCCCGACAGCCTCCAGAGCTGCTGCCTGAGCGAGGCCAGCGGCCGGACCCTGGCCAGCGTGCTGCGTGCCGCACCCTCCCTGCGCGAGCTGGACCTCAGCTACAACCCCCTCGGGGACGTGGGCCTCCAGCTGCTCTGTGAAGGACTCCGGGACCCCCAGTGCCACGTCGAGAGTCTGGAGTGAGTGTGCCCACCCGGTCCCCGAGCTGCCTGCTTTCCTGTCCCCGGGCCTGCGCTGCACAGGCCCTGCCCCATGCCGGCTGCAGGGAGGCCTGAGGAGGGGCTCTCGGGGACAGGCGTTGCTCCCCTGTGACTCGGCCGTGACCCTCTCAGAGGAGCTGGCAGCCAGCTGGTGACCCTGCACCTGCTTGCAGGGTGGCCTGGCCCCGCAAACGCGCAGGGGGTCACAGCTGTGGCTGGGGATGCGGTGGGGCGGGAGGCCGGGCCTTGCTGCTGGTCCATTGAACCCAGGACTCAGGTCGGTGGGTGGTCCCCAGGACGGTCCAGTTACCTGGGCTCCGTAGGGATGGCTCCTGGCCTCTGCAGTGCCGTCGCTGCCTGGTGCGGTGTCCGCAGGCCTCAGGCCAGGGCCGGGAGCGGAGGGCACTCCTGGGGCGAGGACTGACTGCCCGCCTGTCCCCAGGCTGCAGTACTGCAGCCTCTCGGCCGCCAGCTGCGAGCCCCTGGCTGCGGCACTCAGGGCCCGGCCGGAGCTGAAGGACCTGGTGCTGAACAACAACGACTTCGGGGAGGCCGGCGCCCGGACCCTGTGCCAGGCCCTGGTGGACTCCGCCTGCCCGCTGGAGTCACTCAAGTGAGCGCTGGCCTGCCTGGGTGGGGCGGGCGCCGTGCTGGGTGGGGCGTCCCCCGCGCTGGGTGGGGTCTCCCGGCTCCCACAGCGCCTCCTGTGCCCCAGGCTGGAGAGCTGCGGCCTCACCTCAGCCAACTGTCAGGACCTGTGTGGCGTGCTGGCCACCAAGGCCTCGCTGTGCAACCTGGAGCTGGGCGACAACAGGCTGGGGGACGCGGGCGTTGCGGCGCTGTGCCCCGGGCTGCTGAGCCCCGGCTGCCAGCTGAAGACCCTGTGGTGAGTTGGACTTGGGCAGGTGGGCGCGGGGGCGCGGGGGCTGCCGCTCCTGTGTTCTGGGGTCCGAGGCCACCACTGCAGCCGGGTGGGGGGGGCGACGTGCACCACCGTCACCGCACTGGCACGGGGTTGGCACCGCCCCGCCGGCCCCGTCATGACCTGTCCCCGGCCCCTAGGCTCTGGGAGTGTGACATCACGGCCAGCGGCTGCGGGGACCTCTGCCGCGTCCTCAGGGCCAAGGAGAGCCTGAGGGAGTTCAGCGTGGCCGGCAACGCGGTGGGGGACGAGGGGGTCCGGCTGCTGTGCGAGAGCCTGCGGGAGCCCCGCTGCCACCTGGAGTCCCTGTGGTGAGCGCCCGGCGGTGTGTGCGGGGGACAGGTGGCCCGAGGGGACCTGCCAGGGGAGGGCGGTGGGGCCCGGGGGAACGCCTGTAGCCGCGTGGCCGTGGCCGGGTCCGGGGTGGCCTGGTCGGGGGCGTGCTGGGGGCTGTGTGGGGCCCCCGGGGTGCCGGAGCCTGGGCCGCAGCAGTCCCCGTGCCCCCCAGGGTGAAGTCCTGCAGCCTGACCGCAGCCTGCTGCCCACACGTCAGCGCCATGCTGGCCCAGAACCGGAGCCTGCAGGAGCTGCAGCTCAGCAACAACAAGCTGGCGGACGCCGGCGTGGAGGAGCTGTGCCGCGGCCTCAGCCAGCCCGGCGTGCCGCTGCGGTCGCTCTGGTGAGCGTGCGTCGGCGCCCAGTCCCGGCGCCTCCTGACCCCCTCGAGGCCCCACCCCGCGCCCCACCCGTGGTGGCACTGACGCTGACGGAGGGCCAGGCGGGGTGGGGGGTTGTGCGTGTGCGCACGCGTGTGCGCGTTTCATTTCCCACGGGAGGGCTCAGGACCCCGCCGCCAGGCCTCTCGGCCCGGCTGTCCCTGCTCCGCGTCCTGTTTCTGCCGCCCTTCCTCCCCGGGCTCCATCCTCATCCTCTGTCCTGGCCTGCGCCTCACCGGCGGCTTCCCTGGGACCCCCTGGCCCCCGCGGGCGTGGTGCTCAGCCACCACACAGGGCAGGGCGCCTGCAGCTTCCGGGTGCCCCAGCTCAGGGCTCCGTGGCACCCTGGGGACTCCTGGACCTTGGTGTTACCCTCTGCTGGTGCCAGTGGGTGCCAGGCCTGCCCTCCACCGTCCTCTGGGCCGTGTCCACGGCCTGTGGAGCCCGGAAGCCCGTGTCCTGCGCCACCCCCAGCTTCAGCCGAGTTCTCCCCACCTGGGCAGCTCTGGCCAGCTGGGGGGTGGGGGGTGGGGGTGCGGCCCTCCTCCTCTTGTCCTCCCACCACCCAGCACCGCTCTTCCCGGAGGCCACTGGGTGCCTGCCCTCTGCCCCTGCCGGTGGAAGCCCTATGTCCAGGTGTGGCCGCAGCCGCAGGCCAGCCGCCGACGCTGTGCCCACCCCAGGGGGCTCTGCACCTGTGCCCAGTCTGTTCAGGGCCACGGAGACAGACCTGGGAACAGCTCCAACCCAGGGGCCTTCTTTTCTTCCGTATATATTTTTTAAAGATACTTAAAAAAACCTTATTTACTTATTTTTAGACAGAGGAGAAGGAAGGGAGGAAGAGGAGGAGAGAAATAGTGTGTGGTTGCTTCTTATGCATCCCCCACAGGGGACCTGGCCCACAACCCGGGCGTGTGCCCTGACTGGGAGTCACACTGGCGGCCCTTTGGTTCGCAGGCCGGAGCTCGGCCCACTGCGCCGCAGCAGCCAGGGCGGACGCTGGGGTCTCGAAGTGTGTGCCCCACCCCCGCCGTCCGTCCTGGGTTCTGCTGGTGGCACAGGCCCAGGTCACTCAACCAGTCAGCAGCCGCCAGGGGCGTGCCCTTGTCCTGACTTCCGCCCTGCTGTCCACCCAGGCTGGGGGACTGCGAGGTGACCGACGCCAGCTGCGGCAACCTGGCCTCACTCCTGCTGACCAGCCGCAGCCTGCAGGAGCTGGACCTCAGCAACAACTGCATGAGCGAGGTGGGCGTCCTGAGGCTGGCGGAGAGCGCCCAGCAGCCCAGCTGCGTCCTGGAGAAGCTGGTGTAAGCAGCGTGGCGGGCGACGGGGCCCGGGCGGGCTGGGGGCAGAGCGGGCGGGTGGCCGGGGCAGACGGGGGTGGGGGGTGGGGGGTAGGGCGGGGGGGCGTGGCGGCCCTGGCGTGCCCCGGCCCACACCCTCCCGCCCCCACCAGCCTGTACGACATCTACTGGACGGAGGAGGTGGACGACCGCCTGCAGGCCCTGGCGGAGAAGAAGCCCAGCCTGAAGATCATCTGCTGAGCCCCCGCCGGCTCCCAGAGCCGCCGGCCACCGAGTCCCCCGGGGGACTGGCCGGCTCCCGGGGGCTCTTTCCCGGTGCCTTCGCTTTACTGAAGGGAAAGGCTCACCTCGGAGAACGTTTTAGACACTTTATAGTTATTAAAGTACTTTTTGAGCAGAGGGGTTCTCGTCCTTCCTTGCAGGGACCCCAGAGACCTGTGTCTCGGGGTGATGCTTCCTCGGGCGCGAGCTGCCCCAAGCTCCACACCGGGCAGCCCAAACAAGTCAGCGCCTTGCAGGCCCTGGCGAGCGTGGGCTCCCGGGAACCTGCCCCTGTGGCCCCAGCGGCCGCCCCAGGAGGGGCCTGCCCGTGCCTCTGGTCAGCAGCTGGCCCAACAGCCCAGTGGGAGTCGTCCCCGGGCCACCTGCACCTCCGGCCTGGGGACTGCTCCACCCGGGCCGGTCTGCTGACGGAGCCTGCAGCCCTCTGGACGGCAAGGGCAGGCCCCCTGCTGGCACAGTATGGGGGAGTGTGCAGCCCACAGCGGCTTTCAGGGGTGGCGGCCGCAGCTCGCCGCTGCGAGGCCCTCCGCAGTGCCCGAGGCCCCGGCTTCTGACCGGGACCCCGTCCCCCCACCGTGAGGACACGGGGCTCCCTGAAGGAAAGGCAACCAGTCTGGGCTGCGTCTGTGCACGGTGAGCCCGGGAGAGCTCAGGGACCAGGCAGCTGGGCTAGGGACGGAGCCTGGCAGCCACCCGCTAAAGGGACTGCACGTGGGGGAAAGGAGGCCGGGACCCAAAGGAGTGGCCGTGAGCACCAGCCCACGAGGCACCGCCCGCCGCAGGCATCAGCACCGCGGTGCAGCCGGGGGCACGGGGCGCCTCGGGTCCCTGCTGTGCTGGTGGAGCAAAGCCCGCTCCAGGACGAGCAGAGCAAGCCCGGGGCAGCGGGGGTGCAGCGGCCCCTGTGCCAGCAGAGGCTGGACACCCCCACAGGGAGGGCGGGGGGCCTTCCAGCACTGGGGACAGGGCGGCTGGGCTCAAGGAGACAGGTCCCGGTCCTGTCTGCTGCCCGCGGTCCACAGGGGTGGGGGGGACCCTCTCCACTTCCCGCCTGTTTGCATGTCCAGGGTCCATCACCAGCCACCCCCCAACCACAACCATTCCCCACCCTAACCCTAAACCCCCCAGGTCCCCGGGGCCTGAGCCAGCAGAGCAGGTGACCCCGTGCCCCTGAGCAGCCCCGCCCCACGACCCCCACCCCCCAGGCACCGCCCCCGAGCGGCAGGCACAGTGAAGGCTGCGGACAGCGAGGGTGCAAACCTCAAACCACCTTCCGTTTATTTGTTCCGTTTGCTCGTGGAGATGACCATCAGCTCGCGGCCAGAGACCCCAGGACCCTTCCTTCCGACCGCGGGCGCTGGGCCTTGGGGTTCCCGACCTGACGCCCTGCCCAGAGACCTCTTCCCCTGCCCGCACCCCTGCGGTCAGCGGGGCTGGGGGAGGCCCCGGGAGGACGGCTCAGGGCCGCGGCGCAGGCCCACCCGTCTCGGCCGTCTCGGGAGTCGGAGGACCGTGCCAGCGACACGTGTGGCCAGGGGGCGCGGCAGGGGCCAGTGGAGGAACCGGCCGGGCCCTCTGGGTGCCAGGGCTCGGTGTGGTCCAGAGGCAGACCACGCAGACAGCGGGCCGCTGCCCCGGACAAGCGCCAGCCCCGCCTGCCGGCCGGAGAAGGCTCCAGAGCCAGGAGCACGGAGCACAGTCGTGCGCACATGCCCCCCGGCGCACGGCAGCCAGGACGGGCCGCCCCCTGTGGAGGCTCCTGGTGGGAACCAGAGGCGGGCGAACAGCAGGCCCGGTCCCCGGTGGGCGGGCAGGTCAGTGCAGAGCCGGCGCCGCTGCCCTTGTGGCCTCCGAGGGCCCAGGCGGGCACCCGTCCTTGCTGTCCACAGCCGTGCCCTGGTCGCCGCTGCTGCCCTGCTGCTTCTGCCGCCGGGTCTCCTTGTACCGCAGGGTGATGTCCCTGAGGGGGAGGGGAGGGCGGCGCGTCACCTGGCTGCGGGCGGAGGCCTCGGAGCCCGCCCTGCATGGCCGGGGCGGGGAGCACAGACCCCTGAGACCCCGACGCCCGCGCCCCTCACCGCAGGAAGAAGCGCCAGACGGTCCAGGTGAGCACGAGCACGGAGCCGAGCGTCCAGCACTGGGCGATGTAGAAGGGCAGGGACAGCGTGAGTGTGTGGGGGTCGTACTTGACCACGATGAGCAGCTCCGTGGCTGTGATGGCGGCCACCAGCCAGGCCTGCTGGCCCAGCTTCTTGTGCGGCTTCCTGCGGGGGGGGGGGCACGTGGTGAGGGGCGCCCCGCCTCGAGGCACCCCCCCGCCCCAGCCCGGCCCGGCCCGAGGCTCACGGGTCGTCCATGAAGTCGTAGATCTCCCGCATGGCCACGCCGCCCACGTTCACGAAGAACACCAGCCGCAGCAGGACCAGGGAGTGCTCGGGCGGCAGCCACAGCACGAACTTCAGGTAGAACGTGTTCAGCTCTGCCAACAGAAACTGCGGGCAGGAGGGTGGGCGGCGAGCCCCGGGCCCGCCAGGCGCGTGCGGGAGGCTGCCGGCCTTACCACCAGGATGATGCCGCACACGGCCAGCCAGCGGCGCAGGCTGGAGGCCGGCTTCCACTCGAAGCGGACCCAGCTGTAGGGCGTGAACTGGAAAGCGATCCTCTTCATCTTGCCCCTGGAGCCGGGGTGGGGGGGTGGGGGTCAGCAGGGTCCTGGTCCCCTGACCTGCCCCCAGGCACCACGATGGGTGGGAGAGGAGACCCCACCCCCCGCAATCCCCCAGCTCTTTTCCAGAGCCGTTTCTCTCTCGAAATCCAAGTGAAAAGGACAGAGCTGGCAAACGCTTTGTGGGGTGCCCGCCCGAGGGCCGCTGGGGAGAAAACGCCGGTCAGGCGGGGCTGGCTGCCGTGCAGCCACTGCGAGGGCTGCCCGGGTCCAGTCCCAGGCGGAGACCGTAAGAGGCAAAATCCTCGCCTGTCACCCCGCCTGGCCGGAACCTCGGGGCCACCTCCAGGGCCCGTGCGGACGCCCGGTGCCCCGGAGCAGGGCCCTCGGGGGACGTACTTGTAGGTGGGGATGTTCCAGAGGCCCTGCCACTTATAGGTCTTCAGCGACAGCCACTCGAGGGTCTTCATGCCACAGTAGATGCCCAGCCCGTTGCAGACCAGCACGTCCATGATCCACTGTGGGGGGGGGGGCGGGCGCCGTGGGCCCTGCAGCTCCGTCCGGCCCCCCTGAGGGCACCCTGCACCCATGTCCCCCTCCCCGAGGGCGGGGCAGTGGGCCTGGGCCCCGGGGACAGGCCAGGGTCGAGCCCCCCCCCCCGCCCCCAACCTACGTGGTCCCACCAGCACTCGCTGAAGTTGGGCAGCTGGTGCTCCAGGCTGTACTCCAGGAACTCGAACATGACGCTCACCACCGTGCACGCCCACCAGTCCCGAATCATCAGGGTCTGCGGGCGGGCGGGCGCGCGCGCGCGGCGGTCAGAGGCCTCGGGGTCTCTCCACTGTCCTCCCGGCCACCGGGTGCCGAGGACGGGTGCGTGGGGGCCCCGCCCACGGCTCCCAGGCGGTTCAGGAGCCCTCTGCACAGCGGGCCCGGGTCCAGCCGTGGCCCCCAGGCCACGCCGCCCTCAGCTCGGACCACGCTGCGCGGCCCGGCCCCAGGCCGCTGCGGACCGGGCTGCCCGCGGCCGGCCGGCTCGCCTTACCTTCAGGTACCAGCCGATGAAGTGTGCGGGCACGAAGCCGTCCAGCTTGTCCTGCGGGCGGGGGCCGGACGTGGGCCTCGCACCCCCCCCCTCCCCGGCAGCCCGGACCCCTCCTGGCCCCTGGGGCCGGCCTCCCCAGCAGCCGCTCACGGACGCTGCCCCCCCCCGCCCCCGCCAGGGCCCGTGGAGCGGTGCCCGTGCCGGGACCCAGGGGCGACCCGAGGTCTCCCGCACGGGCGTCGTGGTGTGTGTGGGCGGCACACCCCACCGTGCGGTGACATGGGTCCCAGCAACACCCCGCACAGGGCAGCACTGGGGACCCCTCCACACGGCCCCTGGCCCCCCGGCTGGGCCTCACCCAGATGTTGTGGAAGGGGTCCGTCTCATTGTCCACGTCGTAGATGAGGCAGTTCCCCCCGTAGTCCCTCTCCGGCAGAGGGACCCCCAGCCTCGGGTCCACGTACTTCAGGAACTGGCGGCCGTCCTGGACGGTCTGCAAGGCCAGCACCCGGTGAGCGGGGCGCACCCTGCCCTCACCGTCACTGCGGCCGCACGTGGGGTCCGTGGTGCGCAGACGGCACGTCCACCGGCCGCGTGGCTGACGCACCACCGCCCCCTCGGGGCTGGGCACACCGGGGAGTCCTGGGGACACTCGGCACCCCCAAGAGACCCTGCCGGGTGGGGCCTCAGCCGTGCCTTCCGTGGGAGGGACGGGGGTCCCAGCTGCCACGTGTCAGGGCAGCTTGTCCCGACACGCAGGCGCCACCACCGGCAGACGTGCGCCCTGGTGGCAGAGGAAGGCGCCCCGCGCGCCCCAGTCCAGGCGGCAGCCGGGGGACGCGGCAGGGAGGCGGCGCGAGGCGTTGCGGGCAGGTGGCACTCAGACCGGCGCTGCCACGAGGCCCCGCGCTCCACGTGGGGGCTCTGGAGGGCCCCTCAGGCGGCGACGTGACACGCAACCGAAGCGCCCGCACGGGGCGGTCACCGCAGCACCTGAGGGCGGGAAGGGCTGTCGGAGCCAGTGGCCGGCCAGCAAGCGGGCGGATCTCCGGACACGCGACACTCGGACGGGGAAAAACGGGACCAACAGGAGACAAATGTCTGGACACCCGAGGGCCGGCGCCTCCGGGGACGGCAGACGGCGATGTTCCCTCCGTCCCCCGCAGAAGCCAGCGGGGCCCTGACCCTCGGCCTCCCTGGCCGGCGCAGCCCCCAAGGGCGGGCGGGCCGCGGCCGGAGGAGAGGGGGCAGGCGCGGGGAAGGAGGGCGGGACGGCGAGGACACCATCCGCAGACACACAGGCACATGGCTCGGCACGCTTGCGGCTCCCTGCTGTGCCCTGAGGGGCCCCGACACCCCGGGGTGAGGGGCAAGGTGGCGCCCAGGCCTCGGCCGCAAGCCCTTCCTCCCCTGAAGGGCCAGGGCTCCTGGGAGAGACGGCCGGTCCTGCCGGGCAGGGACGACGGCCCAGGAGGGGCCTGGAGTGTGTTCTGGCACCAGAGAAAGGGGCGTGCTCAGAGCTACACGTCACAGCGGCCCCGGGCGTGGAGCCCGGCCAGCTGGAGCGCCGCCCGACGGCTGCAGGTCAGACTCCCAGCCAGGGCACACGCCCCCCTCCCCGGGAAAGCCAGCACCGCATTTATCTGTCGATCGATGTGTAACTGTGTTACTCCCTCCCGCCAACTGTGTGAGTCCTCAGAACAAAGGATGCACCCTCTTGGCTCTCTGGCCACCAGGCCTGAGGCTGCCCAGCCGCTGGCCATGCAGGGGATCACCGCCCTATCTTTCAGCCGCCCTTGCTTCTGCCCTGAACCTGAGCCTCTCACCACCCTCACCCCCGCTAGGCCTGTCCTCTTCCACGGGAACGGAGCACTAATAAACTCTGATGTCACGCTAGCAGTTGCTGACCTGTAATTCTCTCTCCTTTTCAAGGTTACATTTATTTACTTATTTTTAGAGAGGGGAAGGGGGGGAGAAAGGGAAAGAAATATCAGTGTGTGGTTGCCTCTCAAGTGCCCCCTACTGGGGACCTGGCCCACAACCCAGGCATGTGCCCTGACTGGGAATCGAACCAGTGACCTTTTGGTTGGCAGGCGGGCACTCAATCCACTGAGCCACACCAGCCAGGGCTGACCTGTGATTCTTTACATGTAAGAGGAACCAGGTCTCTCCCGCCAACGCTGGGATGGACAGGAAGACAGAACCCTGGCTCCGTGCACAGGACATGACCCAGTATCCAAAAAACGCTCAGAAACCCACCAGAACAGCAGCAACAACAGAACCATCAGAACAAACAAGTTCGGCAAGGTTGCGAAACACAAGGTTGATGCACAGCGATAACCGCGTTTCTACAGACGGGCAGCAACCACGCCCACAACGAAACAGGGCAATTCCACTCACAGGAACAGCAGGAACGCGCTCAAGAACCACAGGCGCCGCTGCAGCAACTGAGGCCCGAACAAACCGGCAGGCCCCTGCGCCGCGGCGGAGGGTGACCCGGTCAGGCACTGCACCCCACCTGCTGCCACAGAAACGAACAAGGTGACCCTAAAAGGCACATGCAAACGTGGGAGACCTCGCAGGACCAAAGCCGCCCTGCAAAACAGGAGCAATCACCTCCCAATTCCACGTCCCGCTGGAGGGACATTTGATCGAGGCCCGGCCAGCGCTCCTCAAGACTGTCCAGGGGACGAAGCAGGGAGCACCTGGTAACTGCCACAACCCCAGCGGGCCTGGGGGGACCTGACCCTAAAGGTTTTGGGATCCTGGGGATTAGGGTGTGGACCCTGAGAAAGACACCTGCTAAGAAGGGCTGTCGGTCGCCAACGAGGCTAAAAACCAACTGACCAGCTATCCCACCCACAGCTTCGCAGCCGGCGGCACGGGAGGCCTCCCACGTGCCCCACCTTCAGGGAGCAGCGGGCACTGCCGCCCCGAGCCAGGAGCAGACGGCCTGGGATCCTGCTTCAGCCAATAGGACTGAGGCTTTCCTCATCCAATCCAAGCTATGCAGCTCCGCCCAATCAGAGTGGCTCTATCCTGACCAATCAGCGTAGTGCCTTTAGACCAATCAAACTAAAGATTTGGAGCCCTCATTTGCAAGAGGATGGACCAATCAGGGGCCAGGGCAGGGACTGCTGTCCCAAGAAGCCAGCACCCTGAGGCTCTAAGCCCCTTGCCTTCCGCACCCAGGGCTGCCTCCCGGCTGGGTCCCTCCAGGGCAGAGTGAGCAGTGCGGCCAGAGAGGGGCCAGGTCTCCTGGCGCTGCTGCGGCGGTCCCACCGCGGCAGAAGCCTGCTGCTGGCACTGCATCGTTTCCTTCCGCACCACACCCCACACCAGGGGTCGCTCTGCGATGAGCTGGCACCAGCGGCCGCTGGCTCACAGGGGAGAGTGGAGAGAATCTGAGAAACTGGACTTTGGTTCATAATGAGGCACTGATATTGGTCCCTAACAGGAAACTGGGAGCAGGATGTATAGGGCCTCTCTGTACTAACTTTGCGATTTCATCCCTCTGTCCTTAGATAAAAGCTTTATTTTAAACTAACAAACAAACAAATACAACAAACTTGACAACAAAAACATCAAAAGTCAAGCTGGTCTCCCAGAAGACGGAGGGCCCCCGAGCCCGAGAAGATGGCCAACATCAGGAACCGCCAGGGAAGTGCAAGTCAACCACAGGAAGGACGACCCCACCGCTCGCCCCCGTGAAGGTGGCTGCTGTCCAACAATAAAAGGTGAAATAAGGAAAAGTGACAAGTGTTGGAGAGGAGGCGGAGGCACTGGAAATCTGTGCACTGTGGGTGAAAATGCAAAATGGTGGACATGCCGTGGGAAACCAACGAGGAGGTTCCTCAGGGTTCAACGTGAAACTACGTTCTGACTCAGCGATTCCCCCACGTGCATGGTCCCAGGAACTGGAAACACCGGCCGTGGCAGACAGCTGCGCACTCACGCTGACAGCGTGTCCGCAGCTGCCGAGAGGGGGGCGCAGCCAGTGTCCATGGACAGGACAGACATGCAGAACGTGGCGTGTCCACGGGATAGAGTATTACCCAGCCTCAACAAGGAAGGAAACACTGACTCATGCGACAATGTGGAGGCACCTGAGGGTGTTATTCTGAGTGAAATGAGCCAGACACACAAGGGCAAACCCTGTGCGACCCACTCGCAAGAGGTCCCTGCAGGAGTCAGAGCCACAGAGACGGCACACAGGACACTGGGAGCCAGGGCTGTGGGTGGGGGAGTGCTTCATGAGGAGGGTCAGTTTGGGAAGATGGAAAGTTCTGGAAATGATAGTGGTGAAGGCTGTACAACTGTGTGAATGTGCTTATTGCCACTGAACTCTGATCTAAAAATGAAGGTGAGGCATTGTAAAAATGTATTTATTTTAGAGAGAGAGGAAGGCAGGGAGACAGGTAAAGAAACACCGACGTGAGATACACCTATCAGGGGCCTCTCATATGAGCCCTGACGGGGGACTGAACCCACAACCCAGGTGTGCGTCCTGGGAATCGAACTGACGACCTTTCGCTTTGCAGGAGGACACCCAGCCAACTGAGCCACACCCGTCAGCGCAAGGTGGTAAATTTTATATTTTGTGTTTCTTACTAAAATTTAAAAAACTCAAATGTTGAATGCGCTGTAACAAAGCTAAAACACTGCAGAGAACTCTACAAGCACCCGTGCCCATACATGTGCATGTGTGTGCATGGGATACTGGTGAAAAGTGGTAAGCTCTCATCATCGATTTCCTGGTCTGGCACTTCCGGTGTTCACGCAAAATGTTCCCACTGGGGACCTGGGTGAAGAGTGCCCGGACCTCACGGTACAATTCCCTACAGCTTCTCGTGAGTCTAGAATTAGTTCAAAACAAAACACTTCAAATACCCCCGAGCTGAAGATATAAACGTAACGTGGAAGACTGTGAAACTTCCAGAAGAAAATACAGGAGGAAATCTTGACATCGTGGTGTCAGAGACCACGCCTCCGCCGGGACAGCGGACCGGCGGCCTGGGGAAGAAAGGATGAGCGCTGCTCCTGGAGAGGAAACCGCTCCAGCACCAGACCTTGGGCAGGGGCTGCTGAAAAAGCATCAATTTCTTTAAAAGGCAAAGAACTTGAACACTTCTCCAAGGGAAAGTGTGCCTGGCTAACGGGGGCACAAGAAGCTGGTCACCATCAGCCACCGAGAAATGGGACGAGACCTGCCGCTCCCCTTAGAGGCTGGAAGGAAGCGCCTGGCGTGCGGAGCGCGGACCAGGGCCAGGCACCCCGAGCCCGCGGGCTGCTGCGGGGAGAGCGGGGGCGGGTGCTCTGGGGCGCAGCGGGCAGCCCTTGGGTGTCGGACAGCGCCCAACGTGGCGCCGCAGCCCAGCCCCGCGCGCACGGCAGCGGGGGAGGGGCGCTCGCTGCAGGGCCACCCCCGCGGCCCCGACTAGAAAAGGTCTCCCAACATCTGCCGCAGGGCAGACAGGCACATCCTTGTCAGGGAGGCGCGCGCGCGCGCGCCGGCTGCACTTCAGAGACATGGACGGTCACACCGGTCGCAGGAGACTAGAGGACAAAGCGGTGGGGATGGAGGGAGAGCAGCCCCTGGTCAGCAGGGCGGAACGGGACTGTCCTCACTGCGGTGCTCACGCAAACACGAACAGGTGTTGGAATTCGCGGGGCTGCACACCTACCCCCCAAAGTACAATTTACCCGGCGACCACGACCCTCGCGCCTCGCTCGCTGACAGATGTCGGAGACCGCGGACCGCCGCTGAAACGGGCGGTTGTCAACCCAGGCAGAACGGGGAAACTAGTACAGCAGACCCGGGCGGCGACGAACCCCGGGCTGGCACTTACTAAGGACACGCGCCTCCCACCTCCCCCGACCGTCCCGCAGAGGGGCCGCCAGGAGGGGACGGCGCGCGCGAAGGCACGGCGGGTCAACCGGAAGCGAAGCCCCTGGCGAGGTCAGGCCGCAGGTCCGCCCGAGGCAGTCCGCGCACGGGGAGCCGGGTCAGGCGTGCGGCCCTCCCTCCGCCGCTGCGACCCTTGCGCAGGTCTGGGTCTCCCGCCGCTCCCAGCAAAGGCGGCCCACCTGCTCCCCGCCCCGGAGGCCGGCGGGGCCAGGCCCCGAGCTCCGCACTCAGACCCGGGTCTGCTGAGAGGCGATGTTCGGGTCACCTTCCGGAGGTCCCCTCACAGCCTCCGCCCATGGGCGCTGGGCTTCAGCCTCACTCCCGGGGGCCTGGGGAAGGACTCCTGTGGTTAACTGGGCAGGATTCGGGGCCAGCCTAGAGCCATCGTGCGCACGGGCCTCCCTCGCAGACCGAGCCCGCAGCCACCGCACTCGGCGCGCCCCCATGCAAGAGCTCCTGGCACCACCTTCCCACCAGCAGGCTGAGACCTGCCTCGTGCCCCTGGAGCACCGCGCCTATACCTCACTTATATTACACGGACCAATCGGAGCAGCTCCATAACCACCAATCAGGACACAGAAAGCTGACCACTCTGGGTTTTTTGGACCAATCAGACTGTGCAATTCTGGATCCCTCATTTACATAGAAATGCACCAATCAGGAACCAGGGCAGGAATTCTCTCTATAAAGGGCAGCCTCCCCATCATCTTCAGAACACATGCTTTCCATTCTCTCCAAGCCTGTCCTTCCGCCAGTTTGCTGACTGTTCGTGCGAGTCAAGTCGCCCTTCAGCACCGTCTTCCATGCACCGATTGCGGGCATTGATTCACAGCTCTGGAGGAGCTCCTGTGCAAAGCCTTCTCGGTGGCCTCGCACTCAGGGTGGGCGTGGCCACGGCCACATCATCACCTAACACTGCGGCGTACCCCAGCAAGGAGAGCACTCACCTGGAAGAGGATGAAGATGAGGAAGAGCTCGTAGACCACGCTGACGCACAGCCAGAACCTCCAGTAGGCTACAAAGACAGAGCACAGCGTCAGGGCCCGGCCGCCAGGTCTGGCAGAGCCTCGACAGAGCAAGGCCTAACTCGGAAGTGAGCACCGTTGCTCTCGGAGGTGTTTCCTTCCTTGTTGTCCACTCCAGTCCCTCACGCTACTTTCCCTCGCCTTAGCGCAGCAGCACGGAGGGACGGGGACAAGCACCGTCCTGCGTTTACCTGCAGCGTTTCCAGCCCTCAACGCCACCTGCAGGAGGTCTGGGTGGATACTTTTGTCGTGTCAACACAAGTCTTTTTACCACTGGTAGGGCAAGTTTTTATCACAAATGAGTACGAAATGTCATTTTTCTGCACTTGGGAGGATCAGCTTTTTTCTGATGCCTGGTCACCATGACCTGTTTCAGGGGACTTCCTCAATTTTGGTCACAACACGTAGGAACTCGCCCCTGTGGTGACTGTGTCAATGCCTGAAGCTGCTAAGAGCAGATCCTGAGTGCGCCCATCGCCAGAACTGATCACATAAAGTCAGGGAGGCGGTGACGGTTTCCCACTGTGTGCGTGTACGGAGTCTCCACGTCATACGCCTGGAATGCCTTGAACTCATGCTGTGCCAGGCACTTACGAGGAATCCTCCCTCTACCACCCGCCTTCCACTCTGTCCAGCAGAAGCTGTTTTCAGTGCAGGGTGAGATGACCTAGAACTAGTCTGAAATGCAAACGGTAACTTGTATCTCCCGAGAGTCTTGATGATCCTGCTTAATGAAGGCCCAAAACTCTAGTTTCCCTTTGCTGACGCTGGTCTAGGGAAACCTCAGGTTCTCCGTGCACAGCACACCCCCAGCTGGGGCCAGGGGTTGGGGGTCCCAGTCTGTTCCATTCTGGGGGGAGGGCTCTGCAGTGCCAGGCAGCGTGTCCCCAAGAGTCTCTAGGGCCAGCCCAGCATCCTCAGGGGCCTGTGCTTCATTTCATCTGCTGGAGGACAATCAGCCATGAAGAGGTACTGGCGGGCGGAGGCAGGTCTACACTTGTGATGTGAGCCCACGAGAGGGTTCACCTCGCATTACTGTTGTTCGTGCTGCAGCTGCAAGCCTCCCTTTGCCCACTCCGTGTAACAAACCAGCCTGGCACAGGCAGAAAACACCAGCACGGTGGGTTGTCAGGGAAGCCTGTGGGTGCAGTTCCGGGGCTGGAGACTCACAGCTGGGGACGGGCAATGCTCAGAACAGTCCCCGTGGCCCAAGGGTTGCTGTAGGCAGGTGACAGATCCCTGAGAGATGGGGCCTCCCTGCCTGCAGGTGCTCCCCACAGCACGCAGAACAAGTGTGAGGGCGTCTCCTTCCACACCGCTGCCTGCCGTCCTTGTGCACCTGCAGGCCCCACGTCCCCCTGGGCAGAGGGCAACCTCAGAGTTCCTGTCTCTATTGCCTTGTAGTGCCTGCCAGGGTCTCTGACAGACTCGGCCCTCCCTGCACATGTCCACCAAAGGAGGTTGGTCTCCCGTCTCCCTGACTCAGAGCCCATTCCCCACACTCTTTCTTCCTTCCCAGTCACAGATGCTGGCTGCCTTGACAGCCCTGACCATGCCTTGGTTTGTCCCAGCCGTCGCAGGGAGCCAGTGAGAAGACACCCCAGATCTGAGAAAAGGACATCTTTCCCACGGGCAACACCAGCTTCCGGAGGAAGCAGTGCCCGGGGGGCCAGCGGGGAGCTGCACCCCACAGCGCCCCCTCTGTGGAGGCAAAACACCCCTCCCGCTGTCCCCCTTGGCGGGCTGTGCAGGGCTGCTCAGGGGTTCGCCTGCCGGGAGAAGCTGGAGGGTCTCCTGGCACGTCCCAGGCTAACAGGACACCTGGAGTGCTCCAGGCCAGGCCACCACATCCTTCGCAGCGAAGCTCGGCTCAGGGCTCAGGCAGAGCCACTGAACTGAAAGGAGGGCCGAGCAGGGCCCAGGCGGATGGGGGCCGCCGTCTCTCTGCAGGGAGCTGGCTTCGCACTCCCACGGCTCCGAAAAGCCACAGTGGCGGCTTTCAAAGACCACTGGCCTCCCACCATCTCCTGCCGCCATGGGGCCAGACGCTGGGACAGGCAGATGCCCACCGGGCAGCTGGACCCCGGCAGGGCCGCCTGTCCTGCTCCTGCTCTGTCAGCACCTGGTGCCCTCGAGGGACACACCACGCCTTCCTTCCACAACTGACCAGCTCTGGCTGGGCTTCCAGCCAGGCTCCCTCTTCCCTCCAAATCGATTCAACAACCCGACTGCACCCAGTCTGCACTGCGATTTCAGAGGTTTCCAGACCGTTACATCCCGGTCCCACCGCTCTGGTTTGGGGCCACACCGTGCTGAGGCAGGGCTGCGGGTGCAGACCCCGGGCGCGTGGAAAGGCCCCCAGCCCTCAGCATGGCCGTGCCCTGCCATTCGGGTGCCCAGAGACAGGCAGCTCGCTGACGAGCATGGTGCTCACTGGGCCGTGGACACATCCCTCCTGAGGGCCACTAGGACCTAGTCACGGCCCCGCCTCCCAGGCCTCTGTCAGACGGGGACCGGAGACGTGCGCACAGGCTCGCGCCAGTTACAGCCGGAAACCCCTAACAACACAGCACGTGGAGCTGGTTAAACCAACGGTACTGCGTTCAGATGACGGCTACACAAGCAGCCACTGAAAATCCAATCATCAAATGAAAGATCAGGAAGTTGCTTGTGTGAAGGCTGAGGTGGAACACACGTGATTGGAAACCACTCACGTGACAGGACTCCACTTTTCAAAGCTCAGTATGTGCAGACACACACAAACACATTGAAACTTAACAGTAGTTATTTCCTGTGAGTGGTATTTATTTACACTTAAAAACATCTAATGTATTCTCAAAATTTTCTACAATGAATACTGCACACACTCCTGTGAGAAGAAACACAACCAAGCTGTGCCCCTTCAGGAGAGCTGGGCGCGCCCTTGGGCTCCAGGACCCGAGGTCAGTAGGACTCCCCATAACTTCAGGGGTTGGGGGACACGGCCAGGACAACTCACTGCAGCAGACAGTGTTTTGATGGCAGGGTGGACGCCTCTCACCTGAGGCCGAGCCGCCCGCTGGGGCCCACCCCGACCCCACCGGGTGGCCCTGGGGAAACCTCGTCTGCAGAAGAACCCCGAGGGAGACGGAGGGGGCGGACGGGAGGGTGGGGACGCTGCGGGGCAGGACGGGGAGGCAGCGGCTGCAGGAACAGGAGCACCCCCCGGGGCGGCCTCAGGTGGCAACGGTGCGGCTTGCGGGCCAGGAAGGGGAGGGCAGGACACGCACACCCTGGCAGCACAGACAGAGCGACCGCTGGGAACAGAACTGCCGCGCGGGCACACACGCAAACAAAATGGCTAGTTACCTGGATGAGGTCTGGAAAATGGCCCGTCTTTAGCTTGTGTGACTCCAAAACATAAGAAAACCAAAATACTGGCCACAATACCTCTGCAAATAAAGAACAAACAGCCCCTCAGTGTGTGTCAGCGCAGGTCTGCACAGCTCCTGCCAGGCGGGAGACACCTCTGGGGCGCCCACACAGTGACAGTCCCAACCCCAGCGGGGCAGGGCAGCTGGAAGCAGGCCCTGGGGGGCAGAGCCGCATGACCTGGCAGCAGGTAGGGCCGGCCGGCCGGCCGCCTGCCCAGGCAGACGCTGGGGGAGAAGCCCTCTTGCTGGGGGCCGTGCACTGTGCCCAGGTCACTACCGTGACACCTGGGCTTCCCGGGTCAAGACGCCCAGTGCAGACCCACATAGACACCATCATAAATTCAGTCGCTCTCTCCTAACTGGTCTCAGGTTCATTTCATTGTCAGTCCAGCCAGAAGAACTCCCCAGTTTAGTGAGCCAGCCAGCTCCCCAGCAGCCTCCCTGGCCTCCTCCTCCTCAAGTTCCGCCGAAGTTTAGGGTGGAAAGGCCTCCCTCTGTCTTCTCAATGTAGATCGGCAGGGAAACACATCTGTGAGGCTGGCTTCCTGGGCGTGGCGACTCTCTCCGGGTCTAGAGGCACCTGCTGAGGCTGGGTGGCAGTGGCCTCCCACCAGAGACGGGGCGAGGTTTCTCCTTCTGTCGCCTTCTACGTCCCAGGGGCGTGGCTTCCCCTCCAGTCTCCGTCCCCTGGAAGGTGCGCCTACCGGGTTGCGCCTGGTGGCACGCTGAACAGACCGGGGTCCCGGTGTCTCTTTCTGGCCGTGCCAGCTCTCGTGGGAGCGTGTCATGAGAAACCTAGACCGTAAGGGCCTGTTGTCTCAACACACGTCACCTCACCGTCAGTGCCAGAACAACCCCATTCCAGGAGCGCCCGCGGGGGCCAGGACCAGCCGGCCTGCGGCCAGAGGCGTCTCCTGTTTGGTGGAGCCTGGAGACCCTGTGTGCATGCCACCATCCAGCGGCCTGGGTGACGGAGGCTGCGCTGCGTCCCCCTGGGGCGCGAGCTTCTGGACCTCACGCTGAGCCTGGGGAGTGAGCTCCAGCCGTCTCCCAGGAAAGCTGCCTGGCTGAGGCTGCTGTTGGAGGCGAGAGATCCCTCCAGCACTGCCAGCCAGACAGAGACCCTCTGAACAGGAGAACCCTCCGACCTGGGAACTGTGAGAGAGCTCTCACCGTAACAGTGGTTTTATTGGCTCCCACAGGGAGACCCAACTATTCCAGAAATAAGTACAAAGAAATGTAACTGCGAGCCTCACAGAGAGAAACTGGCTCGGGAAGCCTCACGGAGTCTGTGTTCTCCGCTCCCCAGGTGCTGAGGAAACACCAGAATAATTCACAGTTAAGAGAAAGGGGCAGGTACTGGTGGGAGCCAAAGAGGCAGGCAGACAGGGCAGCCAGGGCACCCCTCCCACAGGGCGGCCGTCAGAGGTCACAGACCCGGGGGGGGGGGGAGTCACCGAGTGGATGCTGGAGGGGTGCCAGCACAGGCTGCCACCCGCCACCCCAAAGGCCAGGCCGGGGGCACATCCGGGGGCCGAGCGAGTCTGCCCTGCTCATGGGGCGAAGTGCAGGACCCTGCGGGCAGAAGTCGCAGCGAGACGCCCTGGGCCGGCAGTCGGCCGGTCCACGAAGGGGAAGGTCGACAAGACCAGGGTCCTCGGCCCTTTCTGCTGAAGTGCCGGGGCACGGAAAAGGGGCAGCCGCAGGACCCACAGAGTGGAGACGCTTGGGCGGCGGCCCCGAAACCCACGGAGGGGCCCCGGAGCGTGGGGCCAGGGGGCGCCGGCCAGCCCTGGTCTCCGGAGTCTTCGAGCCTTTGTCCTCGAAGCCAGACTTCACACGGAGGCTCAGCACGGCACCAGCACGTGCTTGTGGCCGCGAGCGCCAGTCCTGGGTGGGCTGGGTGGGCGCCGTCGCCAGGGAGAGGCTCCGAGAACAGGCATCTGCGCGCAGGGCGCACCCGCCCCAGCCTCCAAGCGGGACACCGCCTCACCGAGCTCAGCACCCAGCGCGGGGTGCTGTCCCAGCTCGGGGTGCTGTCCTTCCCCCACGGCCGGCAGGCCAGGTCGCGAGAACTACAGAAAACTGGCCTCCGGCAGAGCAGGTGCTCTCACGAGGCTGGGGGGGCTGATGAGCATCACCGGTTTGTGTGACTGCTGCCCCAGAACACGGCTGGTTCTCTGACCTTTCTGTCTCCCGGACAGAAGGTAGGAAGTCCTCCGACGTTAGCTGTGCTAGGAGCGATGCGGCGACACCCCCGTGAGCGGGATGGAAGCGCTGGTCTCCCGCCCCGAACGCTCCCAGACTCCGAGCCGCTCCGCACGCACCGGCACCCCCCACCCACCCCACACTGTGACACTGCGTCTGCCCGGGCTCAGCGGGAGGCTGTCCTCCTGGAGACTGGGCACACTGCCGGGGCTCAGACGGGGAGGGAGGTCGCACCTGAGAGGGACACGCAGACAGCCGGGTGGGACCGCAGGGCTTTAAGGAGCTACGTGGGAGACTGACGGACAGACAGGAACCAAGGAGGACCCTGGGAGGTGCCGCCCGGCGCCCCTGCAGCCTCGCCAGGTGAGCGGGCCAGGGTGCTTCCTGGCAGGGTCAGGAGACTGGAGCTGTTGGGAGGACCCACAACCGCAGGTACCGCAGACGAGGTCCTTGCCTTGGCCTTGCTGGCCCTGAGAGGTCCAGTTCAGTCTGGAAGCTCCTCATGAAAAATGCCGGCAACACGGATGTAAAAGAGCCCATGATGGGTGACAACGACTCTTGCTGCTGCTCCTCCTCTGCAGGTGGCAGGCCAAGTGCACGGAAACCAGGCCACTCGGCCGCCAGCTGGAGACGCAGGGGTGGCCGCGGAGAGAGGGAGGTCTCGCTTCGGCAGGACACCTCACAGCCCCGCTCCAGCCCCGCTCGCGTCCTTCCGGCCTCGCTCCGGCCTGCAGGCTGGACTGGTCCCTGGGTCCCTGCGGCTCCGTCCGACACCTGCCCGTGACTTGCCATACTCCTGTCCCCTCCGTTCCCAGAGTCACTGAGAACTGACGCCGCCCTCCGCCCAGGGCTGCGAGAGCTGTGCCCGGGCCGCTGGACCCCAGGGCCCCTGGGGCAGACTCCGCACCTCCGGCAGCACCGGACGCTCGAGCCGCAGGCAGGAGCACCTGCCGGTCACGCCGCTGCCCCCCGACCTCCAGACGCTTCGAGACCGACGCCTGCACGTCTCCCCCACCCCACGGCCCACCTTCAGGACCCAGAGACCGGGAGTGTGTCGGCTGCAACCATCAGCCATGGTTTCTCCTGTTTCCGGAGAGGCCTCTTATTACTACCGCCTGACTCCACACACCTGGGCCGAGCCTGGGGCGCCCACCTGAATCCCCGCCTCCCAAAACGAGACAGCCATTCGAATGAACCGCTCGCACATGCGAGGCCGGGTCCACGGGACACGGGACCCCCTGCAGACCCAGCACTTGCTTCCCAGGAAGCCTCGGGGGCGGGTGGGAGGGGCTCAGAACAGCTCCCCGAGGCCTCTCTGCACGGGGTTCTTTTGAGCGGAAGGCAGTCGAGGCCCCACGGGCTCGAGAGAAACTTTCACCTCTCCCTCGAAAAATTTAAATTTGTGGCCTTGCTCACTGTAAGAGTTACTACCAAAAATACCTTAAAAAAAAACTTTATTTATTTTTAGGTAGACAGGAAGGGAGGGAGAGAGGGAGAGAAACGTCAATGTGTGGTTGCCTCTTGTGTGCCCCCCAATGAGGACCTGGCCCGCGGCCCAGGCATGTGCCCTGACCGGGAATTGAACCAGCGACCTTTCAGTTTGCAGGCCAGCACTCAGTCCACTGGGCCACACCAGCCAGGGCCGGAAATAACCGGTTTTCATGACCCGCCCACGGGGCAGGGCGAGCACCTGGTTGTTGGTCTGTGCATCCCCTCACCCCGCACTTCCCCCGCAAAGCCGCCGTCCCTCACTGGGTCCTCAGCTCCGCACGGCCGTCCACCCCTCGTCCTGTGCCCGCGCCCCTCTGGCAGGCAGCACCCCCACGCACACGGGAGGCTGCAGCCGGTTCTTCCTCCTGTCCATCTGCCGTCTCCCGCGGATCTGAGTCACAGCAGCCGAAGGAACCTGGGAGGGTGGTCTGACCTGGCCACCACCTGCTGAGGACGCCTGGGTCCTGCCAGGCTCTGGCAGCCGCGCGTGACGCTGCCGTCGGGACCCGTGCGCAGGCGGCTGTGAGTGTCCCACAGGCGCATGACGTGGCCAGATCATGGCTCCCGGCAGTGGCCACGGGAGGGTCCTGCTTGTGGCCTCGCCAGTGCAGGGGGCGGGTGTTTTTAAGGGTCCCAACGGGTGCGTGGGGGTGTCTCAGCTTTAGTTTGCGTTTCCCTGACGACGAGTGTGCTCACTGGCCATCCATCCGCGCATCTTCCCGGGTGAGCCGCTGCCCAGCTGCGCCGTCCGTCCCCACTGTGGGGTCCGAAGGGTTCTCCGCGTGCTCCGGGTACAAGCCCCTTGTCAGGTATGTTCCAAAAACACCCGCTGGCAGCCTGCACCTGTCCTTCCCTCCTTGTCTCCACGGGCCCGGCCGCACTCCCGAGCACACGTCTCCATGCGGAACGTGTGACCGTCCCGACGTCACCGACAGGAGAAGCGTCACTGAAGGGCGCGGCGCCCGCACGCGGTGGGGCAGCCGGCGACGAGCCGCCGGGCCCTGCGGGCGTCTGGCCGGGTGGAGGCGGCCACAAGACCTGGGGGCAGCGGTGGTGGCTGACCGCACTGACCACACTGACCACACTGACCGCAGGGCTCAGGGAAACGGCCCGCATCCCCGAGTGGCGGGCCGTGCGTCTGTGGGCGCTCACTGTGCGCGGGTGCGACTGGGCGCGGCGGGTCGCAGGTCGAGAGGCGGGCCCAGGAAGAAAGCTGACCCTGCTCCCCTGGGGTCACGGAGCTCACCAGGCCCCCCAAGAAGAACAGTGGTCCACAGGCCACGAGTAAAAGCATACGGAGAGCAATTTCCTGAATTTCCAACAATGTGTGCATTTATGGAAACAAGCACAGCCTGCACCCGAAACCTTCCCCTGCGCACTGGAAGCTCCGAGGTAACAGGGTGCGCAGCCAGCCCCCGCAGCCTCCCCAGACCCGGCAGGCCAGCAGGGTGCTGTCCCCAGAGCACCTGCAGCCCCCTGCACTTGGGAGGGGCTCCCAGACCGCTCCTCGGGGGCCCACTCTTGCAGGGGGTCACCTTCTCCCCAGGACAACACCTGCCTGATGATGTGACCACTCACCTCTGCCCACACTGCGCAGGCCCGTGGGGACACTGCCTCCAGGCGGCCAAGGCCTGCCTCTCGGGCCTCCCCGCCCTGCTGTGCCACAAGCCCTCCACGCCGACGTGGAGCTGGGCAGGAGAGGGCGCACTCCAATGGCACCCCTCGTCCCCTCCAGGCCCCAGGTCAGCATCACCAGGGACAGCCCAACAGGAAAGGGGTCGGAGGACCCATGCCAGCCAGCACCTCGGCCAGCAAGAACTGCCGCCTCCCCGAGGCCAGTGCCCTTTCCTCCAGGGAGCCTCCCGGCAGACCCCCCTTTCTCCCCACGGACGATCACGCCTCCCTCCGCCTGCTCAACACTGTGGCTCGCTCGTCCCTGCTCGAAGTTCTCTGCTGCTCCCGAGGACACCCATTTTCTCCCGGCCAAGTAACGGTCTGTTTCACCTTCGCGGTCCACAGACCCAGCTGGGTGAATTCACAGGAAAGTCCAAGCTCTGCTCGGAAACGCCCCCCTCCTGGCCAACGCCGGCTCCTGCCAGCAGCCTCTGCTTCCCCTGCACCCACAGGGCCCTGCTGCAGGGAGGCAGTCCGGGGCGGGGGGCTGCCCACAGGCCCAGCCTGAACCCCACAGCCCATAGGTCAGCGGGCAGAGGCAGCGCTGGGGAGAGGTGTGGACCTGGGGGCTGACACCCAGCGCTCGGGGAGAAAAGGCAGACCCAGCACGGCCGGCTGGGGGGGGGGAGAGGGGCAGAAACCCCACAGACAGTGGGGCCACAGCTCCAGGTGAGGACAAGGTGGGGGCTCCTCGGCGGAGCAGACCCCTGGCAGCCATTCCCACCCAGGAGGCCAGCTGGGGGACGGGGCCGGTGGCAGGTGGGCCAGCACCTGCCCGGACAGCAGGCCGAGCGCAGGCCCGACGGCTGCCGACCCGACGGCTGCCGACCCCGGCAGAGCGCAGCTCGCTCCACACCCCCCAGCAGGTGCTGAGACCCTCACTCCACAGAACCGAGGGCTGGCTCCCAAGGGGAAGCTTCACGGCCCCAGCCCCACCCACCACAGCTGACCAGCGGCCCCTGGCACTGCTGAGCCTTGAGTGCCTCCCCCGCCTCTGTACCCCCCAGTGCCAGGCCCCTGCTGGCTTCCTCCTGCCGTCCCACCAGAGCATGCGGGGCCCAGGCCCCAAGATCAGAAGAGCACTGGGGGTCTCGTGAGCCTGGAGGGGGAGCGGCGAGCCCACCCAGAGTGAGAACACCGCAGGAATGGGGTGTGGAACCAGCTCGCCCTCCCACACGTCCAGCCCAGAGCCCACGGGACTCAGGCCACGGACGTGGGCCTGCGGCCAGTCTGTGGGAGACGCCCTTGAGAAGACCGTCCGCCCCTTCCCCCCGAGAGGGTCTGCCGGACAGCTGCCCGGCATCCGAGAGCCGTTCCAGCGTCAGCGTGGAGGCAGCATCGGACGGTGCGCACTGACGGGGGCCTCCCTGGTCGCAGACACCCCCGCCCCCGACACCCACACCTGCAGGCGCGGCACCAGGCCCCACACCGAGAGGGGTCTGCTTGCTCTCTGTGCCCCTCCCCAGCACAGGGCCCATTCTCCCCCTGGCCTGTCCATGATGACAGGACTGTCCGTGATGACAGCAAAGGTGTCCTTTTCTGTGAGTGAGGACAGGGGCTCGCTGCCCCTGGGACTGGAGTGGGAGCTTTCCGCCCCGCCCTGACCTCGGGGGGGCACAGGGGCTGCAGGCTGAGCCCAGCAGCCAGTGGCCAGTGAGCTCGGGGATAGTGCCCGTGTGGCGAGGCCTGCACGCAACCCAGGGCAGGTTCTGAGAGCTCCTGCGCTGGTGAGAGCACGTGGGGATGCGGGACAGCAGCACCCGAGGGTGCCCGGGAGCCCCTCGAGCCCGCCCCACCCCTCGCCCCACGCCTCTCCTCCACCTGGCCGCGCCCGAGCGCCAGAGAGCAAACGCTTCTCGGAGTTCCGAGGCCACTCCAGCACATCTCCAAACCTGAGCAGGGGCCCAGGGACCTGACTTGGGGCTGGCCGCCACAGGACCCGCGCCCTTGCGGACCTGCTGTGGGCGTCTGGAGGGGGCGGGGAAGGGAGACTCGCAGGAGGAGCCCTTAGGCTGTGGGGTCTGATGCTGCCTCTGGGTGGGTGGTGCCGGGACGGAGGCACCCTGAGCATGGGCACTGGCGGCCAACCCCCCACCCCGGAACTGCTGGGGAGGGGTCTCAGGGGCCGAGGGAGAGGCCACGCGGGGGCGGCGCCGGGCCGGGCCTGCTCACCTCTTGGTGTTGTAGGCCGTGTCCTGAGGCGTCTCCTCCAGCAGCGTCACGTAGCCGAGCACGCAGGTGAGGATGAAGAGCACGGTCAGGGTGTGCGCGCGCCTGCAACCCAAACACACAGCCGGTCAGGGAGCGCTGCCTCCGCGTGTCCGTCCGGGTAGACGCTTCCAACTGTGCAGGGCTCGGAGTCCAGCAGAACACCCTCCAGACCCAAAGGGCAGGCGGGAGAGCGAGGGCGGGACTCGGGTCAGCGCGGCTGCGCGGAGGGAGCTGTAAGGCGGTCTCAGGCGGGCGGAGGGGCAGTGGCGCCAGGCGGCACCAGACGGCCGCCTCTCCCCCATGTGCGTCCTTTAAAGCACGCATGGCCTCGCGGAGGGCGCAGGGCCGTTTACCGTGGCCCTGGAGCTGCGCCCTGCACGCCAGACCCAGAGTAAGCGCGTGGCGGCGTGGTGGAGCGCACGCAGAGGAAGGCGGGGCGGGGAAGAGCTCCCAGCGCGCAGGTGTGTCGGAAGCGCACGCAAGGACCCAGACACCACGGCGCAGAGAGGCGGCTCCATGGACCCGGTTCTGCCGCGCAGCGGGCGCAAAGGTGCGTCGCCGCAGGGTCTCAGGGGGCGGGCAGCCCCACTGGGGGGTGAGGGGCTCCAGCAGCCACTTGAGCGAAAGCTCACAAGGCTGCGCACCCCAGGCTCAGGGTCACAGGATGGTCACTCAGAGAATACAACAGGCCCAACAGGTCACGGGACAACCACTCTGGGGATGGGGTCGGGGCCTAGGACCACGTGCTGGCAGGGTGCAGGGCGGGGTGCAGGCCAGCGGAGCAGTCCCACAGGCCTCTGAGGAGGCGGACCCCAGAGAGCGGGGCAGGAAGGAGCAGGCAGCACGGCCCCTGGGGGGGCGTCCCAGGGCGCACACAGCCTCCAGCAGGTGGCCCAACAGTGTGCTGGGCTCCCAGGGGTACTGGGAGGGCGGCGTCCACCAGGGAAACAGATGACCTGTCTCAGGGCCGCGGCCACAGGACCGATGGCCACCCCGCCAGGAGCGCCCTCGTGCCCAGGAGGTGCCTGTGACAGAACAGACGTGGTCTGGGCACCCTAGGTGGGAGGGGGGGAGACCGGATTGGCGAGATCCAGGACGGATGGGGGCCGCTTGGGGCAGCCAGCACGGCCGCAGTGGGCACAGCGTGTCCCTGCAGGGGCCACAGGACAGCGCCAGACCCCCGCCCTGTGTCCTTCACACCACTCTCCTCGCACTCAGAGGTTTTCTGGTGGTTTCTCCAGACCGGGCCATGCAGCCGGGGCAGCTATGGCCCCGCATCTTTCCTCCATCTTCAGGACACAAGGTCACCTGAAAAGACAGCCCCTGCCCCTGACATGCGTGTTCCTGACCCTGACACACGTGTGTCCACGCCGCCACTCAGGCATCACCCTCGGGGCCCCGGGAAGCAGAGAGGAGGAACGGAGAGGACCGCCCCCTGTCCCGGCCGGGCTGGAGGGGAGGGCGGCGGCGGTGGAGAACTCGGAGCAGAGCCCAGTGGTCCTGCAGGTGACACGAGTCGTCTTTGGGAAGGCTCCCTCCTCTGCTCAGCGGCAAACCCCCTGGGAAGCGCTACTGGCAGATCGCATCACTGATAAGTGGCTAACACCCAAAATATATGAAGAACTCGTGAAATTCAATAGCCAAAAAACCATCGGATTTAAAACGGCAGGAGACTTGAATAGCAGTTTTCCAAAGACGACCCAGAGACTGCCGGCGCACGCACGAGGAGACGCTGACGGTCGGAAGGACGCAAACCACCGCCGCCCGCAGAGCGCTCACACCGGGCAGGGTGGCCCTTATGGGTCAGGGTGGCCCCACCCGCACACCTGCCAGCCGGGGTCAGCGCAGGTGGGGAGAGGGGCCCCTGCGCTGCTGGGGGCCTGCACACTGGGGCGCGGCGTGGAGGTTCCTCGGAGAGTTAAAGTGGAACAACTGCCCTCGACCCGCGACCCCCGGCTCCCGGGCACCCACCCGAAGGAAACAAAAGCGCCCGCTGGGAAACGCGCGGGCGCCCGCGCGCACAGAAGCCCGGCTGTGGCGGAAACCCGGCCGCTTCCCGGTGCCGCAGACCCACGGTGACGGGTCCCCCGGCCGTCGGAAAGGACGGAACCGCACATTCAACCACGTGAGGGACCCCGGGGGCACCGGCTGAGATCGTCAGCCAGCCAGCCAGCGGAGAAAGCGAGTCCCGGTACCACCGGCTGTGACCGGAACCCAGACGCCCCAGACGCACGGGTTCCGGGGGACAGACAGACGGACGCAGCCGGAAGCGGGTGGGGGTGGGGGAGAGATGCGTGAGGACGGTCAAGGGTAAATAAATAACCCTGGTTTCCCCGACAACGCATTTTAAAACCCACTGTATACACTTTCTGTGCCGACAGCAGTGGTGCGCAGACGCTGCCCTGACCGGGGGCGTGGCTCCGCGGGCTGGGCGTCGCCCCACGGAGCAGAGGCTGCCGGTTCGATCCCCGGCGGGGCAGGTGCCGGGTGGCGGGTTCAGTCCCTGGTCGGGCGGCGCAGGAGGCAGCCCAGCGACGTTCCTCTCCCGGTCTCTCCTCCCCTTCCCTCTCTCTAAAGAATCAACAGGCAAGTATTTCCTCAAGAACAGGCACCTCGTTCCAGCTGGGACCACCCTCCGCGCATTCACCGTCACAGCACATCGGCAGACAGAGACGCAGTGTGGTCAGCCCGGTCTCCCCGGGCGGGGTGGGGGGCGGGGGGGGAGTGCGGCGCCCACCAGACCACGGCGGGCAGGGCGAGGCCGCGCCTGCGCCGTGAGCCTGGAGCCCTGCGCAGCGCCGGGACACGCAGCCGGTGGTGGCAGAGGAAGGCCCGGGCGGCGCCGCCCCTGGCGCTCCCTCCACGGCTCTCGTGAGGGCCCAGCTTGCAGCGTGGACACTTTTCCCTGGAGCGGACAGGCGGCACAGCGGGGAAATGGGGGTTTCGGCACCAGCTTCGCAACGCACTGGACCTGTGACCTTCAGCAACTCTGCTCGGCCCGTCCCTCGGACTGTCTACCCCGTCTTTGAAATGGGGACAGAAGCACCAACTTGCAAGTTAGGGGTGGGAAATAAAAATGTCCCTCTAGGTTGGTCCCACAGAGGGGGTCCCTGCCTCGCACACAGTGTGTTTCCATGTGTGTGGCAGCAAGGGGGGCGGGGCGCTCAGCAGGCTCCACCCTGGGCTCCGGTGGCCGAGAGCTCTCTCCCGGAGGCTTGGGTCCTGTGACTCGGGCAAATCCTGTGACTCCAGTCCCTGGGCCAGGGTGACGGCGCGAGGACAGCTGGCCCCCTGCCACGACGGGTGGAAAACACCCGCCGTCGGCCGCTCCCAGCGAGGCCCACGCTCCCTGTGCCGAGTGGGCGGGGAGGCGGGCCTGCCAAGAGAAAACTCGAGGTGTGGCCGGGATGCCGAGCCCACGGCGGCGCCTCGGCCGGGAGAGGCCAGACGCGAGGGCTGTCGCAGGCGCGCAAGGGGCATCGTGGCCGGGACGCTGACTGCATGACCGAAAAGACAACAGCTGGGCAGTCAGCTTCCCAGATGTGGGCAAGGCCGGCAAGCCCCTCGCCCGGTGACTGAGAGAGAAGGGTGTGCTCTGGAACCTGGGCATCTGGGTGCAGCACCCCACACCGCGGCAGCTCCCGGGGGGACAGGCCACAGGTGGGCGAGAGGCCCCGAGATGCTCGCTGCAGGGCAGCGTGTGAGGCTGAGCACCGGGCAGCCACTGCCCACACAGCACAGCCAGCGCCTGGGTCGGGAGGGACCAGGAAAGGTGGTGTCCAGTGGCCATTCGATCGATCTGCAGGTGGCGAGTCACCGTCACTTCTACGGGGCAGGGCGCCAGGCCCCACAGCACCCCCCAGACAGTTTTCACACGTGAGCAGACGCATCTGTGCGCATTTCCTCTGACTCTGCGGATGCTGAGGTTGCCACTGGAGACCACAGTAAACGGAACCCCCGTGGTCCTCACGCCCACTCCCAGGGGCCCAGTTCGTGGGAGCCCACGCCCTGTGGCTGACACGTAGTAACAGAAAAAGCCTCAACCCCCGTGTGTGGCCTCCACACCACCATCATGGGCCCAAACAATCACCCTTCTTCGAAAAGGAAAATCTTAAAAAGCATGGTTTTGAGCTGTGCAAAAGTTCCTTTGAGTGATTCCAGAACATAAACTCATTTCCACAAATATGTATTTTCAGCCTTTATATTAACTTTCTGTAACATTACATTTTAAAAAGGTTTTACTTATTTTTTAGAGACAAGAGAAGGGAGAGAGAAAGGGAGAGAAACATCAACCAGCTGCCTCTCACGTGCCCCCACCAGGAACCAGCAACCCAGGTGTGTGCCCTGACCGGGGATTGAACCGGTGACCTGTTGGTTTGTGGGGACAACACCCTGCATCCCTTCAGTGAACTCTGTGCCTCTTGCCAGAAGCTTCCTGCTCAGTGCTAGAACAGTCCCTGGCACCCAGTAGGGGCTCAGCCACAGTGTTCCAGGACCTCCGAGTCTCCAGGGGTCATCAGGTGGTCTGTGAGAAGGTGGTGCCTCCCTCCTGCAGCCCGAGTGGGACAGCTGGACCCAGCAGTGCTGTGTCACAGCTCTGGGCCACAGCCCTGTGGACACCCCATCCCTCTCTCCCCCCACTGGCTGCTTTGCACCCCAAACAAATTACCTCCCCAGAGCTGGGCTCCGTGGCCACCCCCCTGCTGCAGCTGCTGGCACCCACAGGAGGGGAAGCCCAACACCCGCCTTCCTGTTGCATCTCCCCTGAGTCCGGCACAAACCGGGCACCAGACGGCCTGGGCACAGCTCTCCTGACCTTTCTTCTCTGTGGCACTGGCAGGTTCTCCCTGCTCCCTGGTCAGACCTCTGATGAGCCCCACCACGCAGGCCTCCTAGGGCTGCTGCCACACGGCACCCCCTTGCTGTGACAGGGCTGTCTCCCCCACGTGCTTCCAGGAAGCAGACACCACATGTATTCTCCCGTCCTCCAGGGCTCACCCCGGGAAACAGAGGCCAGCACAGTCTGTCCTTCAGCCGGACAGGAACGGGCACCGACCAAAGAAAAGCATGAACCATGCTTCCCAGCGAACGCCACGGGCGTTGAGTCTCTTACAAGTGAGCAGAGAACCTCAGAAAGGTGAAGGGCCGGACCAAGGTCACGGAGCACGCAGGCGGAGCAGCACCCCTGGGACCTGCAGGTCCCGATCCCTCAAACGCACAAAAACCGCATGAAGAGCACGGACTGTTCCAACAGAGGCGCGTGCCCCCACCCCCGACCCCACCGAGGAAGACCGGGGGACAGTTCGACCCCGAAGCTTGGCGGCGTGGCTGGGACACACACCCACTCAGGTCCCGACCGGGCTAAGGAGCTCGCGCTGCGCAGCAGCAGCGCGGCGGGAGCACGTGACGGAGGGCAGAGGTGAGTTCTGGACAGGGAGGTCAGGAAAAGCCGGTCGCAGGTGCTGCGAGTCAAGTCCTCCAGGATGCGGGCGACGGGGGTGGAGATGCTGGGGACCCCCAAGGGGGCCGGGCTGGGGCAGGGCGGCGCCGGTCCCGGAGTCCCTCGGTCACCCCCCTCCATCCAGGGCTCCGACCGACGTGGCCACGCCCCCGCGACCCCAGCCGGACCCCGGCCGCCCGCCGCCACTCACCAGAAGAAGGTGTTGGTGCCGTCGTCGTAGACCTCGGACTCGGTGCTGCGGCGGCCCACGGGCGCACCGTCCGGCGGCTCCTCCAGCGAGGCCTTGCCCGCGGGTACAGGGGACCCGGGCCGCTGCCCCCCAGCGCCCCTGCGCTCTCCCCGCCGCATGGTGCCTCGGCCCCGAGCCTCTCCGCCCCGCGCCTTAACCTCACGCACAACGGGTCACCGCTGGCGCGCGGCTCGCCGGCGGGGTCTCCAGAGAACAGGGGCTGGGGGCGGCTAGGAAAGGGGGCGATGCATTGTGGGACTTGTAGTCCGTGCTCCTGGGCCGCGGGGCACGCTGGGCATCGTAGTCCCGGACCTCACGGATTTGAAGCGGTGCTTGCTGGGAAGGATGCCGCCCAGTTGCTAGGTAACCGGAGCCGGCTCCCGAGGTGGAGCGGAGTGGTTCCGGAGCTGCCCGACTCAGGCGCTGTTCCAGACCCACCTCCCCAGGCGGCCTGGCCCGAGTGCACCCCCAGCCCCGCCCGCGCTTTCCTGAGCGCCTTCCTAGTGGGCCCGCTGCTCCAGCCGCATGGCTCCCCAGCTGTTGCCTTGTCGATGGTGCGGTCAGCGTCACGGCCACGATGCCCCTTGCGCGCCTGGGACAGCCCTCGCGTCTGGCCTCTCCCGGCCGAGGCGCCGCCGTGGGCTCGGCATCCCGGCCACACCTCGAGTTTTCTCTTGGCAGGCCCGCCTCTCCGCCCACTCTGCACAGGGAGCGTGGGCCTCGCTGGGAGCGACCGACGGCAGCTGTTTTCCACCCGTCGTGGCAGGGGGCCAGCTGTTCTCGCGCCGTCACCCTGGCCCAGGGACTGGAGTCACAGGATTTGCCCGAGTCATAGGACCCAAGCCTCCGGGAAAGAGCCCTCGGCCGCCAGAAGCCGCCGGCAGCCGCGGACTCCAGCCGGCGGGGCGGTCCGGCGGCCGGCGGTCGTTCTTCTGCGGGACGCTGGCGCCCGAGAAGGGCGCAGACCTGCTCACGCGGGGGACGCAGTGTTTGGGTGCAGGCCGGCCGCGCACTAACGCGGCCCTGCGCCCCCTGGGAAACGGCCACACGGCGCGGCCGAGCGCAGTGACCACGTGACCCGCAGCCCCCCACCCCACCCCCCGGGGGGGGCTGTCCAAGAGACCGGAAAAGGCGCGCGCCGAACGCGCGCCTGCGCGATCCCAGCAGGGTCGACCTCCGGAAGAAAACGGCCCGTTGTTTTAGCCGCAGAGGGGCTTCGTTCAGGGGCCGCAGAGCAGACCGGGAGGGACGTCCCCTCCTGGCGAAAGAGGGTCCCGGGAATGGAAGTCCATTGCAGGAAAGCGCGTGGCCGCCGTGTCCCGGTGCCCGCTGGGCTTGTTGGGCGAGGAGGAAGCCTTCCTCCGGCCGGCGTGGTAGAGACGCCTGTTGCTGGGAATTCATGGCGTCTTCTGTCGCGTCTGTAGGCGACGCCTCTTCCGTTGGGGTGTCCGGAGGGCCGCTCCTGCAGGCCTGCCGGCTCCATTGAAATGAGGCTGCTTTTTTCCGCTTTCGCAGCAGCATTACTCATGGCAGCCCAAAACAGGGACCGGGCGCTGTCCACCACCCTTGAGCGGGCGCACGAAGGTGTGCGACCATGCCGCGGGAAGTTACTTGGCCACAAAAGGAAGTAGCGACACAGGCTACAACACGCGCGAACTTGGAAAACACTGTGCTAAGTGGAAGGGGCCGGTCACAGAAGACTGCGCAGGCTACGATCTGTTCGTGCGAAGTGTCCAGAACAGGCAAACGCGTGCGGACAGTGAGAGCACGAGTGGCGGCCAGGGCCTGGGGAAGGGACACGGGGAGCGCCTGCCAGAGGATCCCGGGTTCCTTTTCAGGGCCAGATGTTCTAAAACGGACCGCCGAGGGGGCACATATCTGTGCATACACTCGAAACTCATGAGCTGTGCACTCTAAATGGGTAGATTGTATGTATAGCATGTGAATTACACATCCATCAAGCTGTTAAAACATACGTGTAAAAGAATGTTTGTGGGGACTTCCCGCCCGCCCGCCAGGCCCGCCCCGCATGGGGTGTGGCTGTGATGGGGCCCAGAGTCCCAGCCCCTGACCACCACCTGGGGCTCAGGGCCAGGAAACGCGGGCTCCAGGAGGTGGGGCCTTCCGGGGCCTGCTGCTGCCCTCTGCCTGCCCTTGGGCCCGCTCCCTGCCCCGGGGCCGCAGCGTCACGCTCCTAGGGTTGCCAGGGTGGTCCAGAGTGGCCTGGCAGCCAGCTTCCCTGTGGCCAATCTCCAGTGTGTGCACGAGGGAGTGGCGGCGAGGCTGCAGAGCACAGACGGAGGTGGACCCCGGGGTTCATCCTGAGGGCCACAGGGAGTCGCGATGAGGTCGGCGTCAACGGGCTGCACTGTGGGGGAACCAGCAGTCCCCATGTCCTGGGAAGTGACCCACGAGCAACAAGTGCCCAGAGCAAGCCGGCTCCTGGCCACCAAGTCTTTGCAGCAACACCCCCGTGGGCCTGAGCCATCCTTCAGGGCCCCTCTGCTCCCACCCCAGCTGTGCGGGCGCTCAGGTTCCGGGCTGACTAGGCGCAATTGGGATCCATTCCTGGTTGTGGGTCTTTCTGCCAAACTGCACCCAGTGCCGTCCTCCCAAGGCGGCGCGGGACCAAGGCGGCCTCTCCAGGGCGCAGAGGCCCGGCAGGGCGACCTCGGTTCCCCTGGGGTATCTGGAGCGCCTGGGGTTTATTCAGGTCCTGCCGTCCTGGGGGCGGGGCCTGGGTGAGACGGACAGGGACACGGAATGGGAGGGTCCGTTGTGGGCGGGGAGGGGCGGGGCCTGGTGGGACCCACAGATGTCGGGCGGGAGTGGGGAGTCCGTTGTGGGCGTGGCCGGAGTGGGCCCCGCGTAGGGCGGGAGGGACCAACCCGGATCACTGCCTGGCGCCCTCTACCTGGCGAGCTGACCCCAGTTAATCAATCGCCATGGAGCTCTGGCCTTGTACTTGCGAGAGTCCCCGAGGCTTTAGAAATGTCAACTATAGTATCTTCACACTCCCTTGAGTCCTGTCCTCGTCTCTGGTTTAGAGACAGGAAGGGTGGCGATCCCCGCGCCCAGCTCCTTCTGCCCTCCTGGATCCCGGAGCCTCTCTCCGGAACACCCCGCACTCCCGCACCAGCCCCCTCGCACTCCGCAGTGAGCCTTCCCCCTGCGGCTTCGCACTTGGGGCCTGGTATCTGGGTCTCACCTCCACCGGCCCCTGTCCTGACCACTACCCTTCGCCCTGGCTGCAGCCCTGCTCACCCCTATCCTTCAGACACGCATGGGCGGGCAGGGTCCACTGGCGATTTTGGAGACTGGCGAGGGGGAGTGGAGTGGGCGCTGGAAGGCCTGTGGTTTTGGCTCAAGTGGTCGGGTGGCAGGTGAGAGGAGTTAGCAGAGAGCTTTGAGGACACGGGATGTGACTTGTGTGGAGGTCTGGGGGGAGGCAGGGCGGGGGGGCGGGGGAGGGCTGTCCACACAGCAGGCCTCACTGGTCCCACCTGGGGAAGGTGGCAGAGGCCCTGACCTTCCTCTGCAGAGGGGACGAGCGCCAGAAGCCCAAGGGCACCAGGGGGAGGCAAGGGCTCTAAAGGTGTCTGATTCTGGCCTTCCTCAGGGTCAGGCTCACGTGGACATGACCTGGCCTCAGATCCCAAGGTTTCCTTAGGCCTGCAGGACACATTCATGCTGCTAAACAGTGGGAATGCTTGCTAAACATGCCGGGCAATCTGCAAATCTGTGAAGGAACAATGCCCGCGACTTCCACTGCTTCGGTAAGTGTGTAAAGGTGAATGTATCACAAGAAACCCCACCCTCCGCCCGCACACCTGCCATCTGGGCGCTGGCCCAAGGTTGAGGGAGGACCGGGACGGCTCTCTGCTCCCTAAGACAGGAAACGGGAACTGGTGAGAACTTAAGGCTGGAGGGAGCAGCAGGGAGACAGAAGTGTCTCTCAGGTGGGGACCTCAGCGGCCGGGTCCCCACCCTGGCGTGACAAGGGAGGACCCGCTCCCTGCAGACCCGAGGACCAGAGGCCCAGCTGGGAGAGGGGTCTCCCCTGCAGGGGCCTGCAGCCAAAGAGGTGGGGGCCGGGGGCCTGGGACCAGCCCAGAGATGACTCAGGAAGCCCCAGGGGCCCATGCAGGCCCCTGGGGCTGGGTGGACGGGGGTGGGGGGGTGCTCGCTCTTGCCTGTGGGGCTTCCCCGGGGCACACCTGCAGGCTTGGTCGTCTGCACCTCCACTGTGGGGCGGCCTCTGCCCCCAGTGGAGAGGGTCTGAGGTGCCCCCCGGGGGAAGTGGGAGGGGAGCCTGCCCCAGGCAGGCAGGGCTCTCTGGCGTTGGAGGAGGGAGGGGAGGGGAGGGAGCAGGGTCCAGGGTCCACAGGGAAGAGCCAGAGGGCCACGTGGGCCGCGACGGAAGACCGAAGTTCTCTGCGGCAGACAGGACAGGGTCGGCCCTGCCCACGGCCGGGCCGCCGGGGCCACCCGCCTCCGTGGGGCTGGCCACACCGTGTGGCGGCTTCTTCTCGGGACACACTCGCGGCAGTAAAGTGAAGTTAGTAATAAAGTGTATGAAAGTGCCTTCTATAGTGTGAGAACGTGAAAACAGCAACCGAAAGGAAGAGAAGCACCCCCCCACGCCCCCGCCCCACCGTCCGCCGTTGGCATGAAAGCCGCACGAACAGCCCGGCTCCAGGCTGCTCTTCCAGCGCGTGCGTGCATCTTAACCCGGGCGAGACCAGCACGGATGCGCGTTTGCAGCCCGCTTTCCACGGAGCGTGAGGCAAGCACTTCCCGTGCTCTCGCCCAGTCGTGGAAGGCCGGCATGTCCACGGCTGCTCACTCCGCGCGAGGGCGGAGCGCGGCGCTCAGACGCTTCCCCAGGGCCGGCCGACCGCCCGCGGGGCTCACAGCCTTCACCTCCGCAGACGCACTCGTCCACCATAGATGCCTTATTCTGGGACTTTTCCTTGGGGCAGTTAACTTTACAAAAAGTTAAATCAGTGGACCAAAGTGTAAACAATTTTAAGGCTTTTGATCCTGACCGCTGAGTTACGTTCCAAAAGGGCTCGTCCTGTTTTCTCTGCAGAGGGGACTCGAGGAGACCTGCCCTTTTTTCATTCCTCCCCCACCCCCACGGGGGCCGGCCTGTGCGCCGCGGGCCCCTCCCCCCGCCCCCTGCGCCCCAGGTCAGAGAGGCCGCAGGAGCGGACCCCTGAGCACCCCACCGCCCGGAAGGTGGGGGTGAGGGCCGTGTGTCCGCGGCAGTGTGGCTGGGTGCGGACAGTAAGGACGTGGGACGGGGACGGGAGGGCAGCGGTGCAGACGCACTGTTTCCGCGGAACGCAAACGCAGACGCACCCGGGCTGAGCGGCAGCCTGGGGGGGTCGGAGTGCCGCGTGGACCCGGAGGAGTTCCGACGAAGCTCCACCCCCCGCTGCCCGTTTCCTGCGCCCGAACTCGGCACGGGAGGCCCTCGGGCCTGTGGCAGAGACCCCGGCTGCCCTCTGTGCCCTTCCGCCTTCTATCTTGGGGACAGTGGTCCCAGGTCTCAGGCTTCCACGCAGCGAGGCGTGGCCGGGAGACGAGTCCCGTGAAGGGAGTGTCTCTCCTTCGCGCCCTCCTTTCCCTGCCGCCTCAAGTGCAGACAGGGTCCCTGGGGCTGGGGCAGCCGTTTGCAGCCAGGTGGTGGCACCCGTTTTTAAAGTGGCAACGCAGCCGTCGGTAGGGCGTCGCGGACCGGGCGCCCGCAGACGCTTCTCCCAGCCACCGCAGGGCGTTTCTGTCGCACCCGTCACGAGGCGCCGTGGGCGAGCCCTCAGAGCGGCGCGGGGTCTCCGCTGCCCCTCCCCCCCCTCGTCTGTGCCACCGTCACAGCCTCGCAGCGCTCAGTCCCGGCCCTGGCCGCTGTCCCAGCCGGCCATGGGTCCCCCAAGCGGAAATGTGGGTGGGGCCGTGAGGTCCTGGGGAACCCAGAGCAAACGTGCCCATCCCAGGTCTGAACCACAAGGCTGCGCATAGGCTGCATGATGAGAACGCACGCACCCCAGCACCCGGTGCCCCCTGCTCCCAGGACGTCCTGGGAGCCACCGCCCCCCCCCCCGTGACGCTGGGTGTGCCCCCAAGCTGCTCAGTGTCCCCAGGCGTCCTCAGCGTTCAGAGCCCGGGTGGTTTCAGAGCCCACCTCCCCATGGGGGCAGCAGGCAGCCCCAGAGCCTTCCCCTTGGCTGTGGGCGCCCACGGAACACAGCAGACATGCTCTGGGGGGGGGGGCGGCTAGCGATGCATCCTTGGACGCCAAGGGCTCCTCGCTGCCCACCCCCCCAGCTGGCTTCCACAAAGCAGCGGCTCTGGGTGGAAGAGACACAGTTTCTCTTGGGGATCTGTTTCATCCTCCATCCTCCATGCCCCAGTTTCTCCTCCAAGGGAACCAACTGACTCTGGACTTAGTGGGTGGAGGGTTGGGTGCTGGAGGGGACCTGGGGTCAGGAACAGTGCAGGCGAGCCACGGAGCTGGGGCACTGGGGCGTGCTCCTGTGCCGCCCCCACCCCCTCCCGCCCCCCTGTGGCGGGGTGTCTTACAGGCGAAACCTTCTCTGCAGGTGAGAGCAGGTGAGAGTGAAGGGACTAGGGGAAGGGTGTGCCCTCCGCCGCCCCCGTGCTGCTGGCTCCTCCCCACTGCCACCGGCGGCCGGGTGGAGGGACCAACCCGGGAGCAGGCAGGAGGCCGGGCGGGAGGAGGGAGGTGAGTCCCACGCGGAAGTCAGGTACCGCCCGGGACACGGCAGTCCCGCCGGTGCGAGAGGCCTCCGCTGGCCGGACTCGGGGACACCGCGGGGTCGCCACCATGCCGGTGAGTTGGCGCCGGGAGGGGCCCACACCAGCGACCCCTCTAGCCAGCCCCTCCAGCCCCATCTGGGGAGTCCCTGCCGGCTCCTGGAGCGGGCGGAGGATCCCAGAGAGTCCTGGGCGGGCGCTTGGCTTCCCATCTCTGAGGCGGGGCAGAGGGGCAGAGCAGCCCCGGGTGGGTGCGGCGACTGCAGGGTGGGGGTCCCCGTGCGTGGGGGCTCGAGTTGGCAGGCATGTCCACCCCCAGTTCCCGAGTCAGGGCGAGAACCCTCAGACTGGGCAGCTTTGCCCTGCAGCTGGGACCAAGGAGGCAGGGCCGGGGTGGGGGGTGGGGGCCTCCAGCGTGGGCTGACCTTGGGTTGGGGAGGCCCAGGGTGGCCAGCTGGGCCCTCTCTGCTCCCTGGGGTCCTGCCCCGGGCACGGTGGAAGCCGGCTGAGGGCTGCCGGGTTCTGATTTGGGGAGCAGAGCAGGAGGCTGTGAGGGGCCCCGGGAAGGTGGGCAGGAGAACAGCCCAGGCAGATACCTGTGTTCCTGGCACCAGGAAGAGGTCGCAGGGCAGGGTCAGCACCTGGGCTGCCAGAAGGAGACCCACGTGAGGTGGAGAGCGAAACCAGCCTCCCACTGGGCCACCAGGGCCCTCCCAGGTGTGGGCCTAGAGGTAGCCTTCGGCCCCACCTCTGCCGTGGCGGGGCGGGGGCGGCTCCTCAGTCCTTCCAGAGCCAGCCCTGGCACCCTGGTATCCTGGCATCCCTCAGCAGGACCCCCAGGCCCCGGCTGGCCCCTTCCTCTCATGCCGGTCAAGTGGTCAAGTCAGGTGGGTCCGTGCTGGGGCGGAGGAGAGGCCTGGGGCTGGCTTAGGGTGGGTGGAAAGGCCGCGCCTGGCCCGGCCGAGGTGAGAGCAACCACCTTCGAAGGGAAGGTTCCGATGCAGACGGCCAGACTCGGCCCCCAGCCAGGTGTGAGCGTGCCCCTTCCCTGCCCACGTCCCTGCCCCCCCGGCTCCCAGGTGCCCCCAGCGGAGGGAAGTCCAAGCCCCTAGATGCCCGCACAGCCCTCCCTGGTCTGCCTCCTGCCAGCCCCCAGCCTCACCGTGTTGCTCTCTGTGCTTCCGAAGTGCTCAGGGCCCTGTCCCCGGCGGGGAGTGACTGACTACCAAGCCTCAGCCGCACCGAGGGCCAGGTCCCCAGGAGTGCGACTCCAGAGTCCCCAGAGGTGCTGAGGGCCGAGTCCCCGGGCGCTGGTCGCACCTGCCCCTCAGGGCCTGTCCACACACCTTTCCCCCTCCCAGGAGCTGCTCCCATTTTTTCGCCTCCTGCCAACCCCTTGCCCCACAAGGCCAAGCTCCAGGCCCCGGTGTCCACTTCCACTGCCCTTGAGGGCTGCGCACAGGGCCGGCCGCCTCCTCAGTGAGGGTCTGGGGTGGGGGGTGGCCGGCACACAGGAGAAGGAACTGACGGATGACACAGCTGGAGAGCTGGAGGGGTGGTGGAGGGGCCGACAACCTGCTCCGGGAGCTGTGAGCAGGCGGATCCAGGTGGGGCATTTGCCCAGGAAAGGTGGTCGGAGGGCATCGGGCTGGGCCAGCCAGGGTGGTGTACACCTTGGTGGGGACAGGCATGTCCCCTCGCTGAGCGGTGACACTGCACCGTGCCTTCGAGGCTGAGCTAGGAGGGCCGGGGTGAGATGTGACCCTCGGGAGTACGGAGGGGGGCCCACAGGTGTCTGCATGCAGGTGGGGCGGTGTCACAAGCGTGCGCTCCACGCAGCCGCCGGGCCAGGCCGGGTGGTGGTCGCTTCTGCACAGCCGTGCCCTGGGTCCCGCCGGCGACCCGGGGCCAGACTGGATGGGAGGGACAGAGGGGGCTCTGTCAGCTGCAACCCTCAGTGTCCCGGCCGGGGGGTTGGGGAGGGTCTCCCGGAGCTGCGCGTCTCAGGAAGCTCCCTCGTCGGAGCCGTGGGTGAGCCTGTCGGGGTGGGGCTGGAAGGGATGTGAAGACCCTCCGGGACAGACCCTGGAGCCGGGCGTCCAGAGTCCAGTTGTGACGTTGGTGACACTAAAGTCCCCGTCCTTTCTGGTCGAGCCTCGACTCTGTTCCCCGGAACAGCGGCACCTCAGCCCTGTTCCTTCCTGAACCCTCGTCTGTGAAAGGCAGGCCTGTCCTCTGGCCCAGGACGGGGGAGCAGTTTCAGGTGCCGCAAGCCACACCTGAGTGCAGGTGTGTGTGGGCCGCTGGTGGGCGGGCAGGGAGTGCCCAGGAGCCTGCAGGGCGGGGGGGGGGGGAGGCCAGGCAGGGAGAGAGCAGATGCTGGAGGAAAGGGGGACAGAGGGCCAGGGTGGGCCCCGTGGCCCACAGGGGTGACAGGCTCAGTGCCTGGGCCGGCACCAGCCCCATCTCTGCGGGACCATGGTGTCCAATGCCATAGCACCTGTGGTTCAGCGGTTTCTGGCTCCTGTGGCTAAACACTGCACATAAACAATTTTTAAAATATTTTTATTTATTTATTTTTAGAGAGAGGGGAGGAAGGGAGGGAGAAAGAGAGGGAGAGAAGCATTGCCTCCCACCCAGGCATGTGCCCTGACTGGGAATCGAACCAGCGACCCTTCAGTTCGAAGGCCAGAGCTCAATCCAGTGAGCCACACCGGCCAGGGCAACAATCTTCCTAGTATAATTACGCCCCATGGTAACAGTTGGGACATACGTACGCGAATGAGGATTGTGTATCTGAAATTCAAATGCGGCTGGTCATCCTGGAGGTCAGACTGGCTGGAGCAGTCCGGGCGGGCTTCCTGGAAGAGGCCTGCGTGAGCTTGGCAGGAATGCGGTTGGAGAAGGGGCAGGCTAGCAGGCGGGGGCCAGCGGGGCCAACGTGCTGGTCGTGGGCGGCTGGAGCGGGGTGTGAGGGCTGTGAGCGGGAAGAGGGGCCAGCACTCCCCAGGGGCAGGAGGCCGGGGCAGAAGCCCAGGGCCATGGGGGAGCGGGAGGTGCCCAGACCTGCCAGCAGTTGGCCTGGGGCGGGTTCTCCTGTGGACACAGCCCCCAGATTGCCCCCTGAGCCCTACACGGGGATGCAGCAGGTGCCTGTCCCCCCGGGATCCTGTGCATCCTTGGGGGGCAGGTGGGGGTCCCAGTTACACACACTGCCAGTGTGCTCAGGCCGTGCTGGGGGCACAGGACGCTGGGTGTGTGGCGTCAAGCCCCGTGGGGCGTCGGGGACAAGACGGGAGGAGGTGGCTGACCTCCCCTGAGGGCGCACAGTGTCGGCGTCCCCTGGCTCTCAGCTCCAAAGCCAGGGTCCTCTCCTGCGTGTCAGCCCAGGGCCCCCTCGAGTGACCTGCTCTGAGAGTCTGCCCTGTCCCCCACCCCTCAGCCACCCGGCTCCCCCAGCGGAGCGGCCCTGGGTCACTTTGTCTCAGCCCTCAGAGCCTGCTCGCTGGGGTAAATGGGCCCCCAGCTGCCCCACCTCGACTCCTGCTCCCGCAGGTTCGGCACACCTGTCAGGGCTAAAAGGGCACCAGCCCTGGCTGGCGTGGCTCAGCGGATTGAGTGCTGCCTGCGAACCGAGGGGTCGCCGGTTCGATTCCCGGTCTGGGGCACAAGCCTGGGTTGCAGGCCAGGTCCCAGCGTGGGGCACACGAGAGGCAGCCACACATGGGTGTTTCTTTCCCGTTCCTTCTCCCTCCCTTCCCCTCTCTCGAAATGAACAGATGAAATATTTTTTAAAAAGAGTGATAGAGAGCGGGGCGCCCTCTGCCCGGCTTCCCCCGAAGTCTTGCCCGTCGCCTGGGGCACTGGTCAGAACTAGGAGCCCACCACAGACGCCTCGAGGTCACCAGCCTCCCCCCTGGGTCCTTTCCTGCCCCAGCCGGTGCAGGGGCCTGTGTGGCATTGGCCCCCTCGCGTCTGGGATGGCCCCTCTGCCCCTCCTTGTCCGCAGCTCAGCTCTGCAGGGGGCCCCGTGACAGGCGGCGGGACCACGGGTTTTAGCGAGGCGACCGCACAGGGTCACAGCACAGTCCCTGAGGGCCCCTCACATCTAAGTGACGTCCCGCAACCTTGACCGTGACGGCCTGGGGGTGGGCGCCTTTTCCACCGGTCACTAAGCGCAGCCTCAGGGTAGGCTGATACTGCACCCGGGGGCCCCCGCCAGTGCCGTGAGGCAGGAGACTCGGGCAGATGGTGGCCGGCATGCAGCCACTTTCTCCTGCGGTGCCGCTCGCTGGTGGCAGCGTCCGTGTGTCTGTCCCAGATGCCCCCGCAGGTCCTCGTCCGAGTGAGTCTCACCGACCGAGGTGCCAGGTCAGGTTTGTCCCCGATGCCCCGTGTGTGTGAGGCCGCGGCCCCTTCGAGTTTCGGGGGTGTGGCCTGCCACCGTGGGAGGGGGAGCACGGTGTCTCCACCCCTCCGCCCGCTGGTGGGAATGCAGGTTCTTTCCACCGTCCGCTGTGAAAACCGTTTGCCCCCGTGCGCCCTGACCGCGTCTCCAGGCGGGGTCAGGCCCGGCCGTGGGAGACCAGCTGTCCTCCCAACTCACACGGCCGAGCGCGCACCAGGGCAGCACGCGGGGGTTCTGCCGGCTCCGGAGCTGCCAGCCCCTTAAAATGTCTGCGACCGAGTAGGTGAAAGGCAGTGCCTCTGGGTCACCTGCCTTGTGTTTCCCGGTCTTCCCGTGTACCTGGCGTACCCGGTCCTCCCCTGTGGGTGCTCCTTGCCTGTGAAACCCCCGTTTGCATCTTGGGGCTTCAGGGGCTCTGGGCCTCTGTCCCCAAACCCGCCTCTGTCCCCGCCCCAGGGCGCGCAGCACCTGCACATCCTGATGAGGAACGAGGGGGAGAGCCTGCCGCTGATGGAGGTCAGCCCTGCCGAGGTGAGTCTCCGCTCCAGCCCCCCTAGGCCCGGCCCCTCCCGCTCTCCCGCGCCGAGCCCAGCCCTGCGCCTGGCCCTTGCCTCCCTCCTGCAGACCGACCAGCCGGACTACATCCTCGTCGCCGACTACCGCACCCAGCGAAACCCCAGGGCAGTCCACAAGCAGTGGAAGTTCCTGGAGGAACTGAAAAGAAAGGGCTTCCAGTACAAGGTGGGCCGGCACAGCGGGCAGGGGTCGTGGGCGCCAGGCGGGTCCGGGGAGGGGTCTGGAGGGGCTTCCCGTGGCCTTGGGCCTGGGGTGAAGGGGCCAGGTCAGCGGCCGTGGGTGGAGGGCGGGAGGGTCCCCAGGTAGAACGGAGAGTCCTGCCCGGCCCGGCCCTGCCCAGGTGAAGAAGGACCAGGAGAAGGTGTTCTTCGCCATCAAAGCCGACAACAGGATCTTCAGCCTGTACCGCACGCTCCTCATGGAGCCCGAGGAGCCGGCGCCCAAAGTGGAGCCGCCCTGGCCGACGCCCATCCCAGCCACCACCAGGTGAGGGGCCCGCCCAGGAGGACCCTGCCCACCGCGCGCATGCCCGGTCCAGGCAGGAGGGGCTCCCAAGGACGGCCTCTGGGCCCTGTGCCACAGTCCCCACCCCTGTGAAAAGGGCGATGACAGTCCTTTTGGTGTGTTCTGGAAGTGACATGGGCAGGTTCAGAGAGGCTCTGAGAGAGACCCCCAGAGCCATCCCTCCTGGCTTTGCGCCCAGATGCGGTCCCCACCTCTCCACTCCAGACCCCATGGCCCTCCGCAGCCACCTGCCCCCGCCTCCCCGGAAACCCCCCCTCCTCTCTCCCCCAGCACCTGCTCCTCCCCCTTACCCTCCAGCCTTGCAAGCTGGTCCACCCGCCTTCCCCACACCCCTCCTCCATCACCTGCCTGCCTCATCCCAGGCCCCCCGAGCTCAGCGGGGCACTGTCAGTGGAAACTGGCAAAGGACCCTCCCGGCACGTGCACTCGAGGCCGTGGAGGGGGCTGCTGGGAACCCAGGGCAGCGGTCTCGGGGAGGAGCAGAGCGAGGACAAGGAGGAGAGGCAGCTTGGTGGGGCCTGGGGGGAGCCGCGGGGGTGAGTGCCCTGGGAAGTCCCGGGGACCACGTCTCATCGGAGGGTGCTCAGGAAGAGTGTGGCTCTGCAGTGAGATGCTCCATCCTGCCACTTCCTAGCTGTGTGGCCCTAGGCAAATTACTCAACCTCTCTGAGCTCTAGTCTTCACATAGGCCAAAGAGCTTCTGTGGATATACAGAGGATTCATGTACACACACACAAAAAAAGAAAAAAAAAAGCCCTGGCTGGTGTGGCTCTGAGGACTGAGCACCGGCCTGTGAGCCAAAGGGTCGCTGGTTCAATTCCCAGTCAGAGCACAGGCCTGGGTTGTGGGCCAGGTCCCCAGCAGGGGGTGCGAGAGAGGCCACCACACACCGATGTTTCTCTCCCTCTCTTTCTTCCCCTCTTCCTCTCTAAAATACATAGATAAAATCTTTCAATAAAAGCGAGAGAAAACAGGATTCATGTTCCTGAAGGCACAGGGTGGGCTCTGGACGTGTGGGGGCTCCAGCGTGCGATTGGCAGTGGGGTGGCCAGGCCAGGCTCCTGGGGCCCTGGAAGGAGAGGGGCCACTCCCGGGGGGGCGGGGCTCTGTCCTGGAGCCACGAGGTGGCTGCACCTGGGAGGACCCAAGGAGGTCAAGGGACGGCTCCTAGATGAGCCCTGGGTCTGGGCTCGGGTCTGGCCGTGAGGCAGGTAGGCTGTGGGGCTCCATACCTGGCCAGAGAGGGGGTGGGCCCCACTGAGGTACCCGGGGCCCCCCTGAACCAGCCCTTGCGTTCCAGAATCCGAATCGTCAACTTCATCCTGAACAGCAAGACGGCGGCTGGTGGTGAGGACGGGAGGGGCGGGTGGCCGAGGCGGTGGCCCACCAGGGGTGTTGAGGTGGGAGGAAGGTGGCGGGGTCCTCCCCCACCTCGCTCCCCTGGGACCCGAGACTCTCTGTGGCCTTAGACACGTTCGGGGACTTGATGAATGACGGGGTCTTCGAGACCAGGTTTCCCTTGCACCAGGTGAGAGGCGGGGTGGCGGGGTGAGGGCTGCCCCGGGGGGGGGGCGGCGGGGCTGGAGGCAGGACACTGACCCTGTGGGTCGCCCGTGCCCAGGGGGAGGAAGAGCTGGAGGTGAAATGGGCCCGGTGGAGAAACTTGTTCCGCAAGCAGCCCATTGACGACATCAGGTAACCCTGACCCCGAAAACCACCTGTGTCCCCCTCACAGACACACCTGTGTGCCACCGTGACCCACCTGTGCACCCACAGACACGCCTGTACCTATAGCAAACGTGTCCGCGCGCCCCGCTTACGCCGTCAGTCCTCTCCCCTCGCCCCCCCGCCCCGTGGTTTGCCCCACCCACCCTGCCCTGGCCCGCACCGTTCCCCCCCACTCCCCCGCGCCCCGTGAGGCGGGGCCCCTGAGAAGGGGCATCTGTGCCCGCAGGTACTACTTCGGCGAGAAGGTGGCCCTGTACTTCGCCTGGCTGGGCTGGTACACCTACATGCTGGTGCCGGCCGCAGTGGTCGGCCTCATCGTCTTCCTCAGCGGCTTCTCGCTGTTCAATGCCAGCCAGATCAGGTGGGCGGGGCGGGCAGGGGGCGGGGCCCGGCTGAGTGGGAGGAGGGGCGGGGCCAGGGGTGGGGGGGAATGCGTGGGGCGGGGTCAGGACGGGGCAGGGGCGGAGCCTTAGGGCGGAGCCTACCAGCGGTCCCTGCACTCGCAGCAAGGAGATCTGTGAAGCCCACCAAGTCTTCATGTGCCCGCGCGGCGACTACCGCCGCAGGTACCAGCGCCTCTCGGACACCTGCACCTTTGCTAAGGTTTGCCGCCGTGGGGGGCACGCCAGGCCCGCTCGCCCCGCGGGAGGGCTGTGCAGGCTTATTCCCGCCCTGGCGAAGCTGGGTGTCATTGGGTGGGGAGGTGGTGGGGGGAGGACACGGCCAGCCCCAGTGTCCCTCCCCCCAGCTCACCCACCTCTTTGACAACGAGGGCACTGTGGTGTTTGCCATCTTCATGGCGCTGTGGGGTGAGTTGCTGTGGGCACCTGGGGGGGCGCAGCCTGGGCTCCAGGGCCACTCCTGCCCCCAGCACCCTGGCCGCCACCGCAGGGACACACGTGACGCCCCTCCCCACTCCCGCTGCAGCCACAGTGTTCCTGGAGCTCTGGAAGCGGCACCGAGCCCGCGTGGTCCTGCACTGGGACCTGTACGGCTGGGACGAGGATCAGGTGCGTGGGGCCGGGCGGCCCCGGGCGGGAGCTGTCTCTCCCCAGGGCCCTGTGCGGCCCGAACGTGGTTCCGCCGAGCCTGACGCACACGCCCCCGCGTCTGAGGCACGTGTCCCCCGCGTCTGACGCACGTGTCCCCCGCGTCTGACGCACGTGTCCCGTGTGTGTCTGAGCCGTGCCTGGCGCCCTCCCCAGGAGGAAGTGGCGCTCGAACTCATTAACTGCCGGGACTACAAGCTGCAGACGCACCAGCACTCCTACTGGAGGAGCACCGTCATCCTGGTCCTGTCCCTGTTCATGGTACTCTTGGGGAGCCCCTGGCGGGCTGTCCGCCGGGCGGGGGGCTGCCCTCGGAGCCCACCGTCCTGGCCACCCGCCCGCAGATCGGCATCATGATCGGCATGGCCCACGTCCTGGTGGTCTACCGCGTCCTGGCCTCCGACATGTTCAGCAACTCCGCCTTGCCCTTCCTGGAGGATCAGGTGACCACCGCCGTGGTGGTGACTGGGGCCCTGGTGCACTACGTGACCATCCTCATCATGACCAAGGTGGGTCGGCAGGGCGGGGAAGGCGGGGGGCGGTGGGGGGAGTCTTCCTGCGGCCCGGAGCGAGCCCTCTGGTCTCCCTTCCCTGCAGATCAACAAGCGTGTGGCCCTGAAGCTTTGTGACTTTGGTGAGAGCAGGGACCCCAAGCCCCGCCCTGGCTTCCGGGGATACTGGGGAGTGGACGTGGGGAGGGGCGGGCCCCTCCTGTGGTCTCCATGGCCTCTCCCAGCAGAGGGCAGGCGCCGCCGCCTGGGACACAGGTGAGGGTTCAGGTGTCCTTGAGCGTCAGAACCGGGACTGACCAGGAGTGGGGGACTGTCACGGGCTGAGGGACGGGCGAGGAACGGCCCGGGCGTTTTTCCAGAGAAGCCCAGGACCTTCTCGGAGAGAGAGAGCAAGTTCACCGTCAAGTTCTTCACCCTGCAGTTCTTTGCGCACTTCTCCTCGCTGGTCTACATCGCCTTCATCCTGGGCAGGTGAGGGCCGCTCTCTGCCCCTTAAAAAGGGGAACGCCTGCTCTTTGTCAGTTTTAAAGTAACGCACGCTCGGATCAGGAGGAGACGCATTCCAGACCGGTGTGGCGGAAGCCCGCAGCTGCCCCAGTCGGCCGGGCTTCCCTGGGCGCCGCCGCCTCGCCGTCCGCGGGTCTGAGCCGGGGACTCCTGCACGCTCACAGGCTCTCTCGTGGGCACGGGCGGTTCTGTCCTGCGGATCATATCTCCCCCCCCCACGCCGGAAGTGTGCTGGGGGCTGCGTCGGGGGCCGCGTGGGTGGGGGCCTCGGTTCACCGTGCGCCAGGAGCGTTCTTTGTGGGGTGCCGCCGGGGCAGTGGGTAGTGTGCGCCTTGTTCCCAGCGCTGAGCTTCGCCAATGAGCCGCACGGGGCTGCCAGGTCACACATGTGCACATGCTTCCCCTTACCTTCCTCCCCAGCACAGTGCCTGTGTCTGCTTCGATCAGTGCACACTCTTTTGTCTTAGATTTTATTTATTTATTTTTAGAGAGGGAAGGGAGGGAGGAAGAGAGAGAGAGAAACATCAGTGTGCAGTTGCTGGGGGCCGTGGCCTGCAACCCAGGCATGTGCCCTGACTGGGAATCGAACCTGCGACGCTTTGGTTCGCAGCCCGCGCTCCATCCACTGAGCTGCGCCAGCCAGGGCGACAGATGCTTTTGTCTTTTCTGGAGAAAATCCTTGCCCCGTCTGCTCAGTGTCTGGTTAACTTTGTCGAGTACACACACGCGGGCAGCTGATCCCAAGCTCCCCCAGAGCTTTGAAGAGCCCCTGCCTCTCCAGTGTGTCCAGAGACGCCAAGGACGGCGTCTGGCGTCTGTCCCCTCCCCTCGGGGCCCTGTGAGCCCCTTCCATCTGCGGAGGCCCCCAGGTCCCCGTGGCCCCCTGAGGAGGGCAGGTGGGAATCAGATGCTCTTCGCTCGTGGGGGCCTCTAAGTGGCGGCCCCTCCCCGGGGCTGGAGGTGCTCGTTTGCGGCTCCGTCCCAGGGGTCCCTGCTACGGCAGTTGTGACTGAACCTCTCCTCCTGTCCCCTGGCTTCTGAATGTCTCTGCTGCGTGTCCGGCAGGTCTTTCTCACGAGCTTCAGTGCTCCGTCCCTGCTCCGCCTGGCTGGCTTTCGTCTCAGACTGTCCCCACTGCCACGCACAGGCTGCCACGCTCCTTTCACAGAGCCCTCCACGGTGACATGCCCCGCCTGCCTCTCCCTCCTCAGTCTCGCTTGCTCCTGTTCCCCTTCTTGTGACTCCAGCCACCAGCGGGGCCCACGCTCCTGGCTCCAGCCCAGACCTCTCCCTGGCGCCAGGCGGACAGGCCTTTCCGGCGGGGTGTCCCGCGGGCTCACCCCCAGCCTCCCCCTTGGCACGGGCTCAGCAAGAACCCTGGTCCCCCGGACTCCTCTTCCCCTCAAGGCCCCGCTGCCCACTCTGCCCCACCTGGCTGCCCTGCACCTGCGTTCCCTGTCTCTCAGGAAGGTGGCTCTGGACAGGGGTGGCACCTGTCCTTTGCTGAGTTCTGGGGACACCAGCAGGCCCGCTGTGTCGGCTCACTGGGCAGGACCTCACAACCTCAGTCCTGAGGAGTTTTTGAGCATCTTGTATCTGTTACCTCTGCTTCCTCTTCTGCAAATCTTTTTTGGAAATTTAATCTTCTGAAGCGGCCACCTAATTTTTGTGGGTTTTTTTCTCTGCTTTTGTTCCAGCTTTTTGGGACTTTTTCTCACTTTGTCGTCCAGCCCTGCAACTGGATGTCTCGCTTCTGCTCATGTCCCAAATGCAAGGCGCTCCTTCTGGCCTCTGCTGCAGCCACCAGCCTCTCCTGTCTGGGGGTGGGGCCTCTTTTTCTCCCACTCTGCCACTGGTTCTGTCCCTTCTGAGTCTCTTGCGCTTTAAAAAATTGTTTTTAAGATTTATTTATTTTTAGAGCAGGGAGGGAAAGAAACATCAATGTGTGGCTGCCTCTCGTGTGCCCCCTACTGGGGACCTGGCCTGCAATTCAGGCATGTGCCCTGACTGGGAATCGAACTGGCGACCCTGTGATTTGCAGGCTGGCGCTCAATCCACTGAGCCACACATGCTAGGGGTGGCTTTTCATTTTCAAGGTGCCTTTTAAAAAAGGTATTAGTGAGAGTCTTTTTTTGACTGTCCTAAATTGTTTACTAGGTAAAAAGGAGAATGCTGCGCCATCTCCAGGCTGCAGGGCAAGAGCTGCCGGGAGTGTGGTGGGATGTGTCTGCAAGGCCATGGCTCGTGCCCCGTGCATGTGGCAGCCCTCGCCGCTCCCTGTGCTTGGGGACCGGTCTGCTGACCCACTGGGTGTCAGGGTTCCTTCCGGCAGCCTCACGGGCACCACCTCAGGGAACATGGCCGTGGGGCCGTCACCCCCCAGGAGAACTCAGGCCCCTCCAGGCCCCACAGGGTCTCCGAGCAAATGCCAGCTGGTCAACGCCATGATGCACGGGCTCACCAAGGGCCGTGCCCTTAGGGACAGGGTGTTTGCGGCCACCGCAGCGCCCACCCATCCGATGGGTGACGTGACCTTGCTTGGCCCGGTGCCCCAGCCTGCGGCTTTATCGGCCGGGTGGGGCGGGGGTGGGGCCGTGCAGCGCACAGAGCCGGCGGTCCTGGCGCGGCCCCCCGAGGCACGGACCACTTCCTCCTCCGTGGCTCCTGGGGGGCCTGTGGCGCCCACCGTGGCTCGTCTGACGGCTGCAGCCGGACCTCTTCCCAGACACTTACTCTTTTTCTCCCTTTTCTCTTCTTTTTTTTCTTTTTACAGCTGCACGGCACTCCCTGACCGTCGCAGTCGCTCTCCTGCACGCTGCTCCTCTCGCCTGCGCCTCGTTGCTGGTCTCTGTGGCGTCTCGGCCGAGCGGTTCCCTTCCACTCGACTCCAGCGGCTTCTTAAAACCGCCGCGTGGTTCGCTTTGCTCTGCCTTTGACCCTCTCTTTGCTGCCCGGCTCTCTGTCTTCCCGGCGTTTCCGATTGCCTTGCATTCCCTGCACGCCCGTCACGCCAAGCTGACCGGCCTCCCGCGGTCACACCGTCCGTGTCACGGGCGCCTCTCTTCCCAGACACCTTCCCTGGGAGCCGAGCTCCCTCCCCGCGCTGGGTGGTGGCGGCTCGGTGGGCCTCCCGTGCCCCTGGGCGGGGACTGTCATCTCCGGGGCTCCCATGCCCTCTCCCCCTGGGTCTTGGCATCTGTTTTTTGCTGAAGGAAGTGAGTCGGAGAGGAGCTTTCCGAGTCCCCGTGAGCCCGGAGACGCCCACGAGTGGACCGCGCAGGGGCGGGCGCTGGGCTTGGGGGTTTTCCTTCCAGGACGCGAGAGGACACGGCTGTGCTGTGTTCGAGCGTGCGGAACCGGTGCCCAGGGAGGTGCAGGGGGTCTGAGTGCTGTTCCTTCCTGGTGGACTGTGTTCTTTCCCTGCTGGAAGTTTGGGGTCTCGTCTTCAAACTGGGGGATGGTTTAGGGCTCCTCTCCCCCTCACGCGGGTAAGCTGCTGGGTCCTTCCTAACCCAACCCTGTTCTGGCTCACCACCTTTTAGTTTTAACCTTCTCCTTGGGTCAAAGCATTCTTTCCCCTCCGCTCTGTCTTTGCGGAACTCTTGTCCTGTGTGGTTTTTTATCTTTTCTCTCACAGCCCCCATTGGTCCTTGGAGTCAACATCAGGAGAGATTTCCTTCACCTTTTTTTTCCTTTTTCAATCACAGCTGACTTTTCCTTCACCTTGTCTTTTTGCCTTTCTTTCTTTTTTTAAGATTTTATTCATTTTATTTTATTTTTAGAGAGGGAAGGGAGGGAGAAAGAGAGAGAGAGAGGGAAACATCCATGTGCGGTTGCTGGGGGTTGTGGCCTGCAACCCAGGCATGTACCCTGACTGGGAATCGAACCTGCGACACTTTGGTTCGCAGCCCGTGCTCAACCCACTGAGCTACGCCAGCCGGGGCTCCACGTGGTTCCTTATGGCGTCCTTTTCCCGGGCTGTAGCCACCTGCCACCCCGATGCAAACGTGTGATTCCCTTGAGATGGGTCCAGTTCCAGCGTTTGGAGCGTCAGGTCTTCGGGGCAGGAGGGGTTCCTGGCGCTGGAGGGCGGAGGAGGGAAGCCCCCGTCTCCACGCCGCCAAATGCCCGGGCCCTGGCTGTGGGCGGTTCCTGGGCTCTGCTTCTCGGAGAGCGGCTGTGACATCATGCTGGGTGTTCGGGCTTCACTGCCGGATGGGCCAGCGTCTGTTTCTCTCCTGGCTTGTCCTTGTCCTTGTCCCCGTGCTGGCGGGTGACCGCTCGGTTCTTCACTCTGGCGAACCTTAGGGTCGCTCCGACAGACGCCATCGACGCTCTGTGAGGTTCGGTCTCAGGCCGCAGGAGGCTTCCGCACCGATGCCGGGGGGCGGGCAGGGGTTCGTGTCCTCCGCGGCCGTCACGAGTGACCCCTGCTGAGAGGCTTTCAGCTACAGGAGTTAACTAGCGTGCGGTCCTGCGGACCAGCCGCCCTGAGCAGACTTCAGGGCTCCGGCCGAGGTGCTGCAGGGCCCAGTCTGTCTGGAAGCCCCGGGGGGTGGGGGGTGGGGGGCGGCGGGGGGGCTCTTCTGCCGCCTCCAGCTCCCAGAGGCCCCTCCCTGCTCCGCCTGCAAAGCCAGCGGCTTGGGGCACACCCCGCTGGTCCTGGATGACGAACGGCCCCCTTTTAAGGCCAGCAGATAGCAACCTGAATGCCCTCTTCTGAGTCAGAGGACCGTCACAGGCTCCAGGGAGGAGGACGTGGAGGTCTTTGGGGGTGGGGGTGGGGCATCCTCCTGTCTACCCCGAAACGCCCCCACCCCGGGCTTCCGACCGACCGGAGAGCAGGTTTTTGTTAATGTTCTTGAGTAACGTTCTCCAGCCTTCTCCACGTGGGGCCCCCAGATGCGACTTTCTCCGTCCTCGTGCGACCACCGTGGGAGGTGTCTGCAGCAGACGCCTCCTGCTCCGGCTCCCGAGGTCTTCGCAGCGTCCAGGGACCCGTGGGAGCCCGCCGTCGGCTGTGTCCCCTCTGGGCCCCTGTCAGCTGGTCATCCAGCCTTTCCGCTGGTTTTGTCCTAGGAACATAGCCACATTTCCCGGAAGAATGATTTTTTTCTTTGTAACTTTACAACTGTTGTAAACTTTGTAACTTTTTTCTTTGTAACTGTGTACCGCAGTTCCGGAACTGCGTCAGTTAAATGGTAGCCGTCCTGCACCGCAGCAGGGGCGCCTGCACCCGCGCCTGCCCTTCGGAGCGGCCCAGGTCACACTGTCTGTTGTCACGCGAGGGAAAGCGGGCCATCTGAACACAGAGTAACCCCATGCCCAGTTTCCAAGGGGGGGGCCGAGGCCCCTCCTAACAGGTTGTGTCTACAGCACGTGACCTCGGGCTTTCTCCGGTGCACCTGTGTGCATGCATGTGGCCCATGTGGGTGTGCGTCTCGCTCACCTGCAGGGGGGGACAGGCTCCTTTCCCTCCTCACCACTGTCCCCACGTCCCCTCGGTCCTCCTGCCCCCCGACCCCCCCCCCACCGGCCAGAGGCAAGCTGTGGTGTCCTCCTAGGATCAACGGTCACCCTGGGAAGTACCTGCGCCTGGCGGGCCTGTGGAAGCTGGAGGAGGTCAGTCTGCCCTGGGTGCCCTGCCACTCCGCTCCCGAGCTGCCCCTCCTGGGCCTGACCGCCGTCCCCCGCTGCCCGCAGTGCCACCTCAGCGGCTGCATGATGGACCTGTTCGTGCAGATGGCCGTCATCATGGGTCTGAAGCAGACGCTCAGCAACTGCATGGAGTACCTGGGCCCGTGAGGACGCCCCTGCCCGCCCCCTGCCCGCCCCCGCCCCCAGCCGGCTGCCCACAGGGACCCTCCACCCCGGCACCTCCCCTGTCTCCTACCTGGTCCCTGTCACCCCCAGGTGGCTGACTCTCAAGTATCGCTCCCTGCGGGGCTGGGAGTCCGAAGACCCCGAGCTGAGGAGCTGGCAGCGCAACTACCGCCTGAACCGGGTGAACACCTTCAGCCTGTTCGACGAGTTCATGGAGATGAGTGCGTGGGCGGGGCGGGGCGGGGGCGTGGCTCTGTGCGGAGGGGGCGGGGCGGGGCGGGCGGGGTGTGGCTCTGCGCGGAGGGGGCGGGGCCTGGGGCCGGAGCTCAGGGCGCTGCTGCCGCCGCCGCCGCCCCGCGCAGTGATCCAGTACGGCTTCACCACCATCTTCGTGGCCGCCTTCCCGCTCGCCCCGCTGCTCGCCTTCTTCAGCAATGTCGTGGAGATCCGCCTGGACGCCATCAAGATGGTCCGGCTGCAGCGGCGCCTGGTGCCACGCAAGGCCAAGGACATCGGTGAGGGGGCCCGCGGGGCTGCCGCGCAGGGCGGGGCGCCCAGCCTGGGGGCGTGGGCGGCGAGGGGGGCTGAGCCCACGCTGATCCCTCTGCCCCCGCAGACACTCCCCCAGGTCTCCGTGGGCGGGAAAAGAGGGGGCTGGGGCTGGGGGTGTGCTCAGGCCCCTTCCAGGAGAGGCACAGCTGGGGCTGGCATGCACTTTGCAGGCCCCTCCGGCCGGACCCGGGATCGGGCTGAAGGGCCTGCAGCCCCCTTCGAGGGCCCAGGCAGAGAAGCTGGACTTGGAGGACAGGGTGCTGAGGGAGGGGGGCGCCCAGCAGCTGGGGCGGGACTGAGGGCAGGTGTCCTCAGCCACCCAGACTGGCCTCACGGAGACGGGCAGGCAGCAGGGACGAACAGAGAGCAAGGAGGGGCCCCTTGGCCTTGGGCCAGGTCCCCTCATCAGTGGCCTGGCCCCACGGCAGCGACGGGGTGCCCTTCCCAGAGGCGTGACGAGGCCCTGGGGCATGGGCAGGTGGAGGTGGGGCGGGGTGGGCTGCACCGAGCGAGGTTCCGGGTCGAGGAACCAGACGACCCTGCTGCTGTGGCCCAGGGACCTGGCTGCAGGTGCTGGAGACCATCGGCGTGCTGGCGGTCATCGCCAACGGGATGGTCATCGCCTTCACCTCCGAGTTCATCCCCCGAGTGGTGTACAAGTACCGCTACGGCCCGTGCCAGCAGGACGCCTCTTCCTCGGTCGAGTACGGGCTGCCACACGGCCCTGGGGGCCCCAGACTGTCCAGAGACCCGTGGAAGCCCGGCCCGACCACAGCCCCGCAAGGGCCGCCCGCAGAAGGGCGCAGGCTGCCAGTCATGGGCCCTGCACTGACCTGCAGACCCTGGGCTGGAGCCCCGAGTGCTCACTGGGGCCCCAGTGTTGGGTGGGGGGGCGGGGCGCAGAACCAGCTGTGTCCTGAGCAGCCCCTGAACACCTGTCTCCCAAAGTCAGAGCCTGGGTGGCCTGCGCCGGCACCAGAGGGCGGGGCAGTGTCCTCGTCCAGCCCCTCCAGCCTTCAAGGGCTCCCACCCTGAGGTTCCCCCTCGGCCCGTGGAGGTGGCTGGTGGCCCCTCTCCCGTACAGGGGGGTGGAGGAGGGGGTCTGCGCTGTGTCCCACCCTGACCGGTGGCCCACCAGACAGGAACTAGCTCCAGGGAAGCACCCCGGAGGCCTGCAAGGGCCGCGCCTGCAGCCCCCTCTCCCCCCGCCCCAGCTGCCTCACGGGTTACGTCAACCACAGCCTGTCCGTGTTCCGCACGGCTGACTTCGAGAACCCAGTCGTGACGGAAGGCTCCGAGAACATCACCGAGTGCAGGTTCGGGCCCCCCCCCCCCGCCCGCCGCCACTGTGCACCACGAGTGCCCTCCGAACTCCTGACCCCTGACCTTAGGCCCTTCCCCGCCCCAGGTACCGGGACTACCGCAACGCTCAGGACTACAACTTGTCGGAGCAGTTCTGGTTCCTCCTGGCCATCCGCCTGGTCTTCCTCATCCTCTTCGAGGTGGGCTGGAACTGGGGGGCCCCCTCCCTGGGCCCCAGTCCCGTCTGTGCGCCCCCCCCCCCCGCTCAGTCCCTGCCTGTCCCCCCAGCACGTGGCCTTGTGCATCAAGCTCGTGGCCGCCTGGTTCGTGCCTGACGTGCCTCAGTCGGTGAAGAACAAGGTTCTGGAAGAAAAGTACCGGATGCTCCGGGAGAAGATGTGGTGTGGGGGGCTGAGGTGGCAGTGCGAGCCCGGCCCGGGGCCTGGAGCCCCCCACAACTGCACTCCTGCTTCCAGCGCCAGTGCCAAGAGCACAGACGTGTAAGGGCCCCGAGGTGTTCGCTGGGCACGAGGAGAGAGACCCCCGCCCGTGGCTGTGTGTGTGTGGGGGGGCTGCGAGAGGGCTCGTGTGCATGTGGGTGTGTATGCAGGGGTGTCCCGGGAAGCCCGTGTTTGGGGGAGGGTCCTGGGACGCCGTGTGTGTGTCTGCGGCACCAGTGAGCAGCGCCCCCATCTGTCCCCATCTGTCTGCTAGGGCTCAGGCTCGCACAACCCTCACCTGAACTCTGGGGGGCCACCCACACAATGGGGGGGGGTGCTCCTCACGCCGTCACGACCTCCCAACACAGGAAAACCAGCCTTTCCCGGGCCTCCCTCTGACTTCTGGGCCCGTCCTGCCCCGCCCACATGCTGGCTGGTCAGAGGGCCCCGACCCTTCCTCTCTGCCCTGCCCCCCACCCAGCAGAACTTTTGATAATAAAATAAAAACCTCTTTGTGTCGACTTCTGGGCCCCTGGTGGCTTGTGTCTGCTCTCGGGGCTAGATGGGAAACTGAGGCCCAGGTGGGGAAAGGTCTGAATGTGGTAGCCTCCTGGCCTTCCACCTGCTGGTTCCCATGGGCTTCCGAGGGAGGGGCACCTTACCGAGGCCCGGGTCCCCGCACCTGGGGTTTCAGGGCTGGAGTCAAGGCAGGCTTCCTGGAGGAAGAAGCCACAAAAGGTGCCCCTGGGGATAGAGGGACCTCCAAGGGGTCCCTCCTGGGATGCAGGGCTCTCAGGGCCCGTTGGTGCGCTTTGGCCACAAGCCCGGCCTGGGGCTCCCGACTGAGGCGCTGAGCCGCCTAACTGTCTTCCCCGCCAGCCTTGGGCGCAAAGCGGGACACTTGGGTCCGCCCTCGGCCCTGGGTGTTGGGCGGGGCTGCACCTGTTGCCGCCGCCGGGGCTGTCGCCGCTGCGCACCTGCCCCAGGTGAGCCGCCCCGCCCCCCCGCGGTCGCTCGCAAGGCCCGCGTCCTGGCAGCAGACGAGTGGCAGTCACGGTTCAGAGCCACCTGGGTGAGTGGAGGTCGCCGAGTCCCAGAAGTCAGATCCAGGCCCGGTACTTGGGGCGGCGGGGGCTGCTTGCCCCGAGGAGCCTCTGCGCGGGCGCGGTCCCGCAGGAAGTAGCTCGGAGTCCGCCTGGCTGCCCGCGTCGCCCGCCCGGAAGCCCGAGCCCGTCGCTTACCCGCCTCTTGGGCCTCCCAGCGGCTCGGGACGCAGGCAGCGGCTTCCTCGTGGCCTCTGCGCAGGAGAGGGAGGGGAGCGGGACACGCTGGGACACCCACCAACGCCCCAATCCCAGACCCCAGACCAGAGGCCTCCCAGGGCTGGGGGAACGACCCGGGAAGAGTGCCGGAGCCGGGGCGCGCCGGTCGCCCGGCAGAGCTGCCGCCACCTGCGCGCTCCAAGCCGCGGCCGGCGCGTGCCCGCCGTCTGTGCGCGCCCCCGGCCGCCTGAGCGGTGCACCTGGACGGTGGAGGCACTCAGTCCGGTCCACCCCAGGGACTGCGGGTCGCAGTGTGTGGGGTGTGAGGTGGGGTAGAAGAGCTGGGCATCGTGGGCTGAGAGGGCAGGATGGAGCCCCAGGGCCTGCGAGGCCACAGCTTTCCACGCAGGTTCCTTCATTCAGGAGAGACGCTCCGGGGGCGCAGCACCGCGCAAGGCGCAGTGGCCGCGCGCCCTGGATGAGACAGACGCTAGGAAACTATGGGGTGCTGAGCCGCAAACCCGGTGGCCGGCTGGGGGCCAGTCCCTTCCTGAGGCTGGGGTAGCAGCCCCACCGCGCAGACCTGAGGGGAAGGAGCCTGGACTTTCCAGAAACCGCGGTTGTGGGGCCCAAGGTGCTGGGTGGTGCAAGGGGGGGCGGGGTTGGTTTCAGAAACACTGTTCTGAGAGCGAGCCTGCGACCATGTGGGTGGTTTTTCTGCTCCCCCCGGAGGTGAGGGCAGATGTTGGTGCAGGAGGGGGCATCCAGGCGCAGCTGGGAGCTGGCGGCACAGATGGGGGCAGCCTGGCGGACGCTCTGAGAGGCAGCGAGGCTGGTGGGGGTCGCTGGGAGAGCTCCACCCTGCTTCCTGCCTGGGCTCCTGGGCCAGGCGCTGGAGGGCCACAGCGAGGCTGGCAGGGCTGGGGCCGGAGGAAGGGGGTTGCAAAGCTGATGCTGCTTCAGAGGTGCCCCGCTGCTGGCCCCCTGTGGGTGAGGGCTGGGGCAGGGACCCTTGTCTATGGACATCAGTACCAGCCACCTGCTGCGGGACCTCCGAGTCCTAGGTCAGTCTGGGGGCGGAGTCAGCAGTGACAACTGGCAAAGCTGGCTGCCCCCAGCACAGAGCTGGGAGCCTCTTCCGAGGCCCCCTGTTTACTTCCTCTCCTGAAAGGGGGGCACCATCCTCACACCCCAGCCTGAAACCAAGGGCCACACTGACACCACAGCCCACTTGTAACTGCTCACTGTTTGGGGTCTACACCTTGGAGGTGGTGGTGGGGGGGGGGCAAACATCCCTGATCAAGGCCCTATTATTGGCAGGAGTTTCCATAGGACCCCTCTCCCCGAGAGGTCAGAGGTTAGAGACACATGGGCCTGCTCACTGTGATGTGGGGGTGGGGGGGCGCGGGAGGACATGGAGAGTCCCCTGCTTTCCCGGGGTGGCATCGTGGGGGGTCTCCAGGAAGCAGGCCACCCTGCCCAGCTGGCCCTCCTCCTGTGTGTGCAGGGTAGCCCCAACCAGGGGTCTCCTTGCCAGAGCCCCTCACCTTGCCCTCGGCTCCAGCCTCTGACACCTCCCCCACACCTCAGGCCTGGCCTCAGGAAGTGCAGCCCCGGTGGGCTGGGGCGGGCCCAGAGGAAGGAGCCCTTGACTCAGAGCTACAGGAAGAGCAGTGGCAGGCGGAGCTGGCGGGGACAGGCGGGGCTGTGAGAACCTCACTGCCCGCCTGCCTGGAGGGGTGGGTGCCGGGGTGGGGTTTCGGTTCAGGAGAGGATGTGACCGCGAGGCCAGGAAACTACGGAAAAGTCCGGATCAAACACCAGAACAAAGCCAGGTCCTCACCCCCTTTGGCGCCGTGTCCAGGGCGGCCTCGGGGCTTCGGGCTGGGCCAGGGGCCCAGCTGGGCAGAATTTGCTCCCAAGCACAGGTCAATGACCTCTGTGACTGCATCCCCTGCTGGAGAAAAGAGCCGGAACCAGGTGACTCGGTGCCCTCCCACGGCGGCCTGCTGCTCGGGCCGCCGTGGGCCTGAACCCTCCTCCTCTGCTGCCTGCCCAGCCCGAGGCCCCTCCACGGCGTCAGGCCTGGCTGAGGGGAGGCCGCAGCATGTGCAGCATGCGTGCTGGTGACAGTGAGGGACAACAGGAGGTGGGTGCGTGGCTCCTGGTGTGGTGGGGCTCTGCCCCTGCAGGGACCGATCCAAGTCTGTGCCGTGCGTGCCTGCGTGTGGACCGGAGTGCTGAGGTGTGGGGTTCGGTGCAGGTGTGTGGGGAGGGGCTGTGTGTGTAGGGGTGGGTGTGCCACACAGAGACTGCAGGGGAGGGGTGTGCAGGGGGAGGCTGTGAAGGAGAGGGTGCCGGAGGGTGTGTGCCCACTCTCCTGCCCTGGCCATCACAGTGGCCCTGGGGCAGGGGAAGGTCCCCCCAGGGCCCCTCCCAGGCCTGTGTGAGGTGCTCCAGCTCCAACACTGTTCTGGGGCTCCGCTGGCATCCAAGGGGCAGCAGGTGCTGTTTGTGGCCAAAGTTACATGTTAACTCATCCTGTTCTTGTTTAACTCGCTCTCTGGGGATGGCGGCAGCCTCTGACCCATCCTGGCGCCCTGACCGACCCGCTGAGAAGACAGAGAGGGAGTCCCGCCCAGCCCTCGGGGTCCGGTCGGCTCAGCTGAGGAGCCCACTCAGCCAGGGCTGGCACCGTGCCCAACCTGCCGGAGGAGGGCCCGGTCAGACCATGGCAGGTAGACGGGTGGCGGGGGTACGCGCCCCACTCTCACCCACCTCCTGAACCTCCCTGGCTCCCGGCTGCCATGTTGCCCGAGCTCTGCTCACCCTCCTTCAGGCCGGTGGGGGTGGGCACAGTCGGGGGGGGGGGGCAGGGAGATGTGGGTGGCTGGGGGACGTGGTATGAGATGAGGGCTGTCTTCTCTGACTGCTTCTAGTGCTCCTCAGCCCGGTTTGAGGATGAGAAAGTCCCGGTCTCAGGGAGGTGGGAAGGTTCGCCCATGGTCTGCTGTGATCCCAGGCTCCGATCCCAGGTGGAAGGTGCCCACGCTCATGGCAACTCCCCCAGGAGGGGGCAGGGCTGAGGCTACAGTGCCTGCCCCTTGACCTGGGGCTCTTGTCCTGGGTGGACGTGCAGCCAGATGCCAGGCCCTGCCCTCCATGAGACCCTGGGACAGACATAGTGTGGCCACCAAGCCACACATGCCTCTGGCCAGCCTGTTCTTCCTGCCCACAGACCACCTGCGGGGAGTGGGAGCCAGGTGCCCTGAGCGCGGCTGACCTGCCGTGTGTCATGTTTCTGCAGATGTCTGCAGCAGGCCCCCCGACTTCCTCTCCCCTTCTGGAGACCAGACACTGGCGCCAGCCCTGGGCAGTGTGGTCACTCTGAACTGCACGGCCTGGGTGGTCTCTCTGCCCCATTGTCCTCTGCCCTCAGTCCAGTGGCTGAAAGACGGGCTGCCACTGGGCAACGGCAGCCACCACGGCCTTCACGAGGACTCCTGGTAAGGGACCCCCGACACGCACACGTCAGGCGGCCTCTCTGACCCACACCTGGTCCGTAACCACCTGGGGAGTGACTCCCCAGACGGGACGTGGGCAGAGTGCCACTCTGGACACAGACTGAGAGTCAGCAACCGCAGGGACAGAGGGCCCTTGCGGACACTCTCCGTACACCACCGTCCAGGGCCACGGGGGCCAGCAGTGTCCTGAGGCCTGAACGAGGCGTGGGCCGTTGGCCCCAGCCTGGGACCCGAGGGCCCCTGGGACCCAGACACAGACCCGGGATCAGGGCGACCGTCGCTGAACAGACCTGCCTTCAGCGGGTTCTGTCACCTCTCTCAGCGTATGGCCTGAGGGCTGCCCCGGGAGGCCCAGCTGCAGCCTCTCGGCGAACCCCAGACAGGTGGGGCTCTGGGGGTCCGCCGATGCCCTCAGGCCCCAGGTGACAGAGCGGGGCCCGGTCTGCCCAGGGTCGAGGCCAACTCGTCCGAGGTGCTCGTATCCAGTGTCCTGGGGGTCAACCTGACGGGTGCTGAGGACTACGGGGCCTTCACCTGCTCTGTCTGGAATGTCAGCTCCTCCTCCTTCACTCTCTGGAGAGCTGGTGAGGGGGATTCAGGGGGACAGGTAGGAGGGGGCCGAGGAGGCTGGGGGCTGGAGGGGGCTGGGTGAGGGCCGCAGCCGCTCAGGCCGCAGCTCTGTCCCCAGGCCCCGCAGGCCACCTGGCGGCCGTGCTGGCCTCGCTGCTGGTCCTGCTGGCCCTGCTTCTGGCGGCCCTGCTCTACGTGAAGTGCCGGCTCAACGTGCAGCTCTGGTACCAAGACAACTACGGGGAGGTGGAGATGAACGGTAGGTGGGCGGGTGGCCTGGCCGGATCGGCCTCCCTCGGCTCCCTCAGGGTGGGGCTGCCCCGGGCAAGCGGAGGGGCTCTGGAGGTGGGCAATAAGGACGCACCAGCCCTGCAGGGCTCCCGTGAGCTTGCATTCCAGGAGAGAGGGACACACGCAGCCCGGGAGGGCAGAGGGTCGGCAGAAAGGGGCCAGGAGGCCAGTCTGCTGTTTCTAGAGCCCCCCTAAGAATCCTGTACTGGGGAGGGGTCGTGGGCGGGGTCTGCGTCTGGGGTGCGGGCCTCGGTCCTGTGCGCCATGTGGGGGAAGGGTGAGGGGGCCCTAAGGGACGGCACCTGGAAGTGGCAGCCGGGCCTGGGAAGGGCCGCGCTGACCCGCCGCCGTCTGCAGACGGGAAGCTCTACGACGCGTACGTCTCCTACAGCGACAGCCCCGAAGATCGAAAGTTCGTGAACTTCATCCTGAAGCCGCAGCTGGAGCGGCATCGGGGCTACAAGCTCTTCCTGGACGACCGCGACCTCCTGCCCCGGGCAGGTACAACAGCACGCGATTCCGGGGCTCCGCCCCCGCGCTGGGCCCCGCCCCTCCTAGACACCCCTTGGCCCCGCCCCTCGGCCCTGGCCCCGCCCCTCGGCCCTGGCCTCGCCTCTCGTTGGGCCCCACCCTCTCTCGCCGTGGACCCTGACCCCCTGGGCCCCAGCCTACCGGCTTTTCGCAGAGCCCTCCGCCGACCTCCTGGTGAACCTGAGCCGCTGCCGGCGCCTCATCGTGGTGCTGTCGGACGCCTTCCTGGGGCGGGCCTGGTGCAGCCACAGCTTCCGGTGGGTGTCGCGCGGGGCCGTGGGGGCGGGGCCCAACCGCGATCTGCTGACGGTCCCGCCCCCGCAGGGAGGGCCTGTGCCGGCTGCTGGAGCTCACGCGCAGACCCATCTTCATCACCTTCGAGGGTCAGCGGCGCGACCCCGAGCATCCTGCGCTGCTCCTGCTGCGCCAACACCGCCACCTGGTGACCCTGCTGCGCTGGAGGCCCGGCTCCGTGGTGCGGAGGGTGGTGCGGGCTTCGGGGTGGGCGGAGTTCCGTGGCGCGCTGCCCGAGCAGCCTCCTTTGAGGCTCCCGGAGCCAGTGCGGGCGCTTCCTGGAGTGTTTGTCTGGGGCCAGGACTTCCAGCGTGGGCCTCCCCCACGTGTCCACACGTGCTCAGAGCCCCACCTTGGCCCCCAGACGCCTTCCTCCGACTTTTGGAAAGAGCTACAGCTGGCGCTGCCGCGGAAGGTGCAGTACCGAACGAGGGAGGGAGACCCGCAGACCCGGCTGCAGGATGACAAGGACCCCATGCTGATTGTGCGAGGCCAGGTTTCCGAGGGTCGGACCCTGGACCCGGAGCTGGACCTGGACCCCGAGGGGGACCTGGGTATGTGCACCCAGCCCCACCCCTGACCCTGAGGAACTCTACCTGGGATGGAAGGGGGGCTCACAGCTTCGAGGAGCTCTGAAAGGGGTTCAGGTGGCCGGGACTCGTCCCTGCAGGCTGTGAATGGGCTTGGCACCCCCAGGACCCCTCACCACACAGCTTCCCCAGAGGCGCGTGGGCCTAAGGCGTGCCCAGAGCTTCTGGGCCCTCGAATGTTACCTCCCAGGAGGGTGAGCAGGGAGGGAGCTCAGCTTCAGGCCTGGTGGTGTCCCCTCCGCAGGTGTGCGAGGCCCTGTCTTTGGGGAGCCACCAGCTCCACCGCATGCAAGTGGGGTCTCGCCGGGAGAGGCCCGGGGCAGCGAGGTGGACGTCTCTGACCTTGGCTCCCGCAACTACAGCGCCCGCACGGACTTCTACTGCCTGGTGTCTGAGGAGGACATGTAACTGGCCCCTCGCCTCCGATGGTGCCGCAGGAGGCCAGGGACAGCTGGGAGTGGGACCCTGAGCCCTGCCTGCCTGGGGCCCTGGGGCCCTGGGACCTGTCCTCATGCCAGAAAAATAAAGTCTTTTTGGACCCTGCTGGGGCCGCATCCTGTCCTCTCCCGGGGCAAGGAGGGGGCACTCAGTGTCCTGGGCGCTGGGCACCCCTCACTTCCGTCTCAGGCTCCTCAGGGCCGTCAACCCCTCCCTTGTTCCACGCTGATGGCCACTCCGCCACAGAATCTGGGCGTCCGCTCCATCCCTCCCTCTCTCCATCCGCTTCCATGCAGAGCCAGCTCAGGCCGGGCTCTGGTGTGGCCTCCTTGGGTCCCTCTGCGGGGCTGGGGGTGGGGGGCAGTGTGGCTGTCGCCAGCCCCCTCTGACGGAGACAGATGCCGGGGGAGTCAACCCCCTTAAGAGACTCCAGGTTCTGAGCTTTGCAGAGGAAGCCCTTTGTTGTTCAGGAAGCCCTGAGAAGATCAGTGAGCGCTTCACCACCAAGGGGCCTGACTCAGGGCGAGGCGGGTGGGGCCCAGAACCTCCTGGGTCCCGAGCCTCAGATGGATAGCAGGACAGTCCCCAGCCAGGATCCCCCAGGGGGCAGGGCAAGGAGAAGTGTTGGGGGCCTTTGTCTCGTGAGCAGGACAGCACCAAAGTCAGGAGTGGTCATGCCCTGTGCCTGAAGTCCCCAGCTCTGCGGCGTCTGGGCCTGGGGTGGCACTGAGGCCGCTGCGGGGTGCCCTGCCTCCGCTGCCCCCCCTGGCCAGCTCTCTTCACTGGACACCCCCTCCCCGAGCCTGAGAGGAGGCCCAGAGGATGGCATGGTTGTGCTTGGGGACACTGGAACACCCAGGGGTCAGAGTGGCCAGAAAACACGCAGGACTGTGGCTGCTGTCGCCATGACCACCTTTATTTACTCCCAGCGCCGGCTGTCCCGAGGCCCCGCCGCGCCCCGCCGGCCCCACCTCCGCCACGGCCACCAGCCCACACACCAGAGCAGCCTCAAGCCCTGCCCCACTCCCTGCCCTGCAGAAGCCAAGTCCCCAGCTGGAAGCCCCCCTGCCCCACCCCACCCCCGTCTCCTCCCTGGTGGCCCAGGCCTTTCCAAGCTGCACGTGGGGCGGCAGCGAGCGGCCCCTGGGCCACCGGCCTTCTCCTGCAGGCCGGCTGGCAGGCGGTGCGGAGCCGAGCCGAGCCTGTCGCTCGGAGGCTGGGTCACGCTGCGTCCTCCTCCTCCAGGAAGGCCTTGCCTAGGGGCCCAGGAAGTCCTCCTTCCGATAACCCTTCTGCAGTTGGGGGCGAGGGGGTGAGTGAGAGGGTGCAAGCCACCTTGCGTCCCGCCCGCCCCCAGGGGCGCTGATGGGGACCCCTCTCCCTGGGTCTGCGGCTCCACCCCGGTCTGCAAGGCCGCCCACGCGCTGCCCCCGGCCCCAGCGCCATCGCCGCTGGAACTTACCGCCCGGAAGTCCCGGTGGAGCTTGTTGTACTGCCACAGATTGGCCAGGAGGCTGGAGGCCGCTCGGGAGGACTTCTCGCTGTCGGGGCTGGGGAGAGCCGGCAGGGTCAGCGGGGGCGGGGCCAGCGGGGGCGGGGCCAGCGGGCGGAGCCGGAAGGCAGGCTGGGCGGCAGGGCGGCCTCACCTGTCGCGCTTCTTCTTGATGAAGACCAGCTTGCGGAGCCCGTCAAAGTACAGCAGGTCTCGGGCCGCGATGGGGCTGACCACCACCAGGTTGTTGAGTATGGCGATGATGTTCACCAGCACGTCCGCCGGGGGGCACTTCTCGCCCACGCTGCCCGGCAGCTTCTCGATCAGGTGGCTCACCACCTTGGTGGCTGGGGGAGGCCAGGCGGTCAGTGTCGGCCCCGCTCGCAGCCCCAGGGAGCTGGCGAGGAGCCAGCCCGGCCGGGCAGCGATTCAGACCGGGTCCAGGGGAGCGCCCGCTGGGCAGCCGAGGGCGGGGCCCCGCACGGCCACTGACTCACACATCTCGTCCTTGTTCCTGGCGTTCCGGGACAGGTTCCGGATGAGGCCGGTCAGCGAGCGCAGCTGGTGGTGGTCGGCCGTGCGGACGCGGTCCAGCAGCGGGTTCAGGATGCGCTCCTGCTCCAGAGCCAGGCGGCTGAGCACGCCCGCCCACTGCAGGTGGGGGAGGGGCTGATGAGAGCAGGTGAAGGCGCCGGTGCCCGCCTGCATCCTCCCGGTCCCCTCGTGGGGAAACTGAGGCAGCACTGGCTCCCATCCCCTGTGCACCCCGGCCAGGACCTCACGGAGCACGGCTCCGGTCAGGCCCCTGCCGGCGTAGGCTTCCCGGGGCACCTCCGCTCAGACCTAGAGCCCAGCCTGAAAGCCCACAGCCCCAAGGGCTGTCCCAGCTGGGACGCTGGCCTCACTCCTGCTGCGCCTCAGACGTCCCTCTTTCCCGCCCCTCCTGCCCAGCCTGAGGCCGACGCTCGCCTGCCTTCTTCCCTCTGTCTGGTCCGCCCACCAGTCTGTGTGTGTCTGCTGCCCCTCCCCCAACAGACTGCAGGCTCCCACCCCCCGTGCGCTCCTCGTGTCCCCGGCAGGTGGCCAGGCGTGGGTCCCCTCGGCCGGGTGCCCGCTCCGGGGCCCCTCACCCTGCGGTCCCCGGCGGTGATGTTCTGCAGGGCCCCTGCGGCCGCCTCCGTCGTGTGCCGGTTGAGCTCACAGCGCTGCAGGAGGCGGTTGTACAGGCCCACGATCTGGGGGCTCCACAGCCACTCAAGGCCCTTGGGGTCCTTGGACACCTCGGCGAAGGTCAGTGCGTCGGCAGTGAGGGGCAGCTGGTCAGCAAGGTGCGGAGGGTCAGCCGAGGTCGGGCCAGGCTCCCCGCCCCTGCCCGCCGGGCCCGAGCCCACCTCTCGAAGCCGCCGGCTCTGCGGCGTGAAGCAGCCCACCACCTCGCCGGGCGGCGCCCCGGCCACGTCCCTGCGGCCCCGGCCCTCGAGACGCTGCAAGGCTGACGGCGGCATCTCGTCGTACAGGCGGTAGGACAGGTTCCTCAGCACACACACGGCATTCTCCACGCTCTGCGACGGGCAGGCGGTGGTCAGAACGGGCCGGCGCCCCCCCACCCCCTCGGCACTGGCCGCCCCTCACCTTGTCCTCGCACTTGCCCACGTCCAGGGCGTGGTTGATGTAGGTGACCAGGGCGTCCACCAGCCCGTGGCACTCCCGCATCTTCTGGCGAGTGGCCTGGGAGGCTGAGCTGAGGTTCCTGTGGGTGGAGGCAGATCAGAGACACCCCCGGGGACCCCCAGGAAGATCCCACCCCCACAGGGACCTGAACCCAAGGGCCGAAGGTCCTTCGGGCACCTCCTGCCCCTGGTCCCCCTGAGACACCGCTGGCCCAGGTGCCACTGCACAGCCATCCCGTTCACACCCCGAAGCGTCCAGAAGAGGTCACGAAGGTCAGATCGAGCCCTGACTTAATGAGCCCTGAGTCTGCTGGCACCACACCTGGCAGCCTCCTGCGCCAGCTCCCAGCCCTGCTTGGTCTCTCTGCTCCCAGCTCCCTGGCCGTCTCTGCCCTGGTGTCAGGCCTCCCGGACTCCCGCTCCTGCCCCATGGCTGCCGCCTCGGCCTCTCCCAGCCCACTGCCCCCTGCCCAGCACTGCCCCCTGCCCAGCGCACCTGAGGAAGCCCGTGGCATTGTAGAAAATCTCGGACTCAGAGGCATTCTGCTGGATGAGGGGTGGGCCCCCGGCCCCCGAGAGGGGGCTCAGCACCAGGTCTGTGAGCTGCTCCAGCGTGTCTCGGGCCAGACGGTCCTTCAGATGGTCGCTGGAGGACAAGTTCCACAGGATCCCTGCGGCAGGTGGGGCCAAAGCCGTGGTCAGGGGCAGCCCGGCAATCCCTCTGGCTCTTCCTTGGATGCTGAGAGGAAGCTTCTAGCCACCCCGCCCCCACCCAGAGCTCACCTGTCACGGTGAGCCTCACCCGAGAGCCCACTGGGGACAGCTGGAGTGTGACCTGCAGGGCCCCGGGGCTGCAGCAGACCCTGGGGACAGGGCCCTGGGCACTGGAGACCTGCCACAAAGGCAGTCACGGGAGCCAGCGAAAGCGACGGGACAGGGGGCGGGCGAGCACAGAGCCGGAGCAGGCGGAGGGCCACAGGCGGCAGGAAGCAGGGGGCGGCGCGGGCACCTGTGACGTTCTTGCGCAGCTCGTCGTCCTGCTCCCGCAGTGTCCGCAGCAGCTCGAAGATGCCGTTCTCCTCCACCAGGGCCAGCTTGTTCTCCGCGTTGTCGTAGATCAGGTTGCGCATGGCGCCCGTGGCGTGGCGCTGCACCTCCTGGTTGGCGTGGTTGAAGAGCTTCACCAGCCGGGGCACAGCCTGGAGGCTGCGGGCCTGCGGGCACAGGTATGCCAGGTTGGCACGTGTGCGTGCACTATGCAGGTGTGCACAGAGGTGTGCAGGTGTGTGCAGGTTGTGCAGGTGTGCAAGTGTGTGCAGAGGTGTGCATAGCACTCCCTCCTGCTCCTCCCCTGCCGGGGATGCTCTGGGCAGGGTGGAATGTGCCCAGTCAGCTGGCAGAGAGGTCAGTGAGAGTTGGGGTCAGCAGGGGCGTTCACAGGGCGGTCACCTGCTTCTTGGCCGCAGCGTCGCTGTAGCACTTGTGCTGGATGTAGGCCGCTCCCAGCACCTGCAAGTTCGGGTCCGAGGCCATGAGGTACTTAACTGCCGACGGCAGGTCAATGTCATTGAAGCTGCAGAAACAGGGGCCAAGGGTCAGGCTGACCCTGGGGACACCTGGGGCCACGGCAGCAGCCCCCTCCCCACGCCAGGCAAAGCTCACCCACTGCTGAGCCTCTGCAGAGTGCGCTGACCGCCGTAGCTGTCCAGCCCACGCACATCCGGCAGGTGGCCGGCTTCGCCCAGGCTGAAGCTGCGCACCGAAGGTGCTCGGGCCACGGGCTCCAGGATGGGCCCCGGCACCGCCCCAGCCCCCGCGCGGCTGCGGTGGCTGCTCTGGAATCGCTGCAGGGTCCGCATGGCGGGGGCACGGATAGTCCGGCTGGGTGGCGGCCCCTCCACAGCCTCCGGCCAGTCCAGGCCGCCTGCCCGACTGGAGCTGGA